ACAGGATAAAGGAAGTCGGTAATCCAGTAAGCTCACCTTACGCCGACTTGTCCTCTTTCTAAACAATTGATATTTAGCAAATCTCAGCGCTCGTCCAATTCTCGTGCCACCTCTCGGGTATCTTATACGACCAATGGCGTGTAACACGCTCTGTTTGTTTCTGTAGCTCCTAAAGTTTGCGATCAGCCATGCACGGCTAGAGAACAGTACGATACCAACACGAGTTTGAGACGGAGAGACGCCGAACGAGGCTACGACTCGTTTGACGAAGTTGAGACATCGCTGGAAGTTACCTCGACCGTAAGCCTCGATACTACCAGAGCCGTCAATAAGGAAGGCAAGGTCAAGACGTCTGCGACAAACTGTGAAAGAAAAAACAAAAACACGTGTTGTCAAATAGTCGCGATGGTAGTTGGTGAGCAGGTGATTTCAAGGTCAATCATAACCCTGCTAAAAACAGGTAAACTGCTTCAAGGGCGGGGAAAGGTAAGTGGTTAGGTCGAGGTTTGTTTTAGTTTTGCATCCAATTGGCTGAAAGGGTGGTGCGAACTTTCTGGACCAATCAAAAGACGTATGAAAGAAAAACCAATGTAATACTGCATAACTTTCGGTACCCGATTGGATACGTCAGTCAGCCAACAAATTTTGGCAGTAACAGTTTGGAAATATACTTGATGGTAAAGAGACAGGAAAATGAATTTAAGAAAAATATTATAAGAAGGAAAAAGACATAACTTAATAGAAACATGAATGCGTGAATTTGGATCTCAATTAACAGTTTTGGTTCCAGTCTTACCTTGACCACTTGGGCGAACAGGAGGTCTTGGTCGCACAGGTCTAGGTCGTAGTGGGCGACCTATAAAAAGCGAATTAAATTTAGCAAGTATTGGTCAGAGTCTGGTATAAGTCGAACACCTGTAATATGACAGCATTCATTTTCTTGAAACATAACTATAGCTTTTCCATCTCTTTCCGATGTTTCATCGACTTAAAATCCTCAAAAGGCATTCCCTCATTTACTCACATGACAAAATATTTAAAAGAGCCCCACCCTTTTACCATCGGCTAAAAGCAAACGGAGAAACGTCGTTCTGATGATTAAGGTTATGTAGAGGACTTATCCCTTTCAAAAACCACTTACCTCCACAAGCAGCTTTCTTTATGGATCTCACTACACCGCTGAGGCTTCTAAATCCGGCTTTGAACACGTTTCGTGAGTTCCCTGCCATTTGGTAAAGTTGTGATTTCCTGAACTTTCGACCAATACCAAGCGCCAAAATACGCACGCCGGCATTTCGAAGATCACGTGACGGTCTAACCACCGAGTCTTGTGAAATGCCATCTGTCATACAAATAAGAACCTAAAAGCCAGACATATTTTTTCAATTTTTTTTTATTTCGTAAGGGAAGAAATTAGTCTCTTTTAGAGTAGCTCGAACTATTTACTATTGATTACACGAGTACCAGAGAACAAGAACACAGGATAAAGGAAGTCGGTAATCCAGTAAGCTCACCTTACGCCGACTTGTCCTCTTTCTAAACAATTGATATTTAGCAAATCTCAGCGCTCGTCCAATTCTCGTGCCACCTCTCGGGTATCTTATACGACCAATGGCGTGTAACACGCTCTGTTTGTTTCTGTAGCTCCTAAAGTTTGCGATCAGCCATGCACGGCTAGAGAACAGTACGATACCAACACGAGTTTGAGACGGAGAGACGCCGAACGAGGCTACGACTCGTTTGACGAAGTTGAGACATCGCTGGAAGTTACCTCGACCGTAAGCCTCGATACTACCAGAGCCGTCAATAAGGAAGGCAAGGTCAAGACGTCTGCGACAAACTGTGGTATAGAAAATACATGTAATGTTAAATGGCTACAATTTACCGCAATACATCAAGCATTTACGCGCAGCGGAATAGCAGTGGAATTAAAGTTTTCTATCTGTCTTTGCTTTTGTTCATGTATGTTTCACAATTTCAACTTTGACGTGTGACTGTAAAGTATATCCTCAACAAAACCAAATTTTGTCTAGCTGCCACGCATTGTATTGGACATAAAATAAAGCTTGTTAGGTTCCAGTTTTACCTTGACCACTTGGGCGTACGGGGAGTCTTGGCCGTACTGGTTTGGGACGTACTGGGCGCCCTGATCGTGACAAGAAACAAAGAAAAAATTGAAGAAGTCTTAATGTTGGCATAAATCTGCTAAATAACGATATATTAGCAACGTAAGAAAATTATCTGCAAAGTGGCCCGAAAAATGTTATTTACCTTTACACGCTGCTCTCTTTATAGAGGATACTACACGGTGTAAACTTCGGAAGCCACTGTTGAACACGTATCGTGAGTTCATAGTCATCTGGTTGAGCTGCGATCTTCTGAATTTCCGGCCAATTCCCAGCGCCAGGATTCGCACGCCAGCATTTCGGAGGTCACGTGATGGACTCACGACGGAATCTTGTGAAATGCCATCGGTCATTGCAACCAAAACCTGCATAATGCATGAAAACTTGACTGTAATGGATGCTACCTGATAACAGTGTATAATGTAGTACAAGCAAAAAGATATACGAGCTACCTTAAATCTGACCACATGGGTACTGAAAAACGCCCTTCCCCCTCGGAGAAACATTGAAGCAGATCAATAAATGAATTAATAAAATCGTTTAGAAGACACACTAGTCATTCACCTTTCGCCCGTAGGTCCTCCTTCCAAACAGCCGTTGTTTGACAAACCTCAGCGCTCGTCCAATTCTTGTGCCACCTCTCGGGTATCTTATACGACTGATGGCGTGTATCACACTCTGTTTTGTCCTATAGCTCCTAAAGTTTGCGATCAGCCATGGACGACTAGAGAACAGCACGATACCAACACGAGTTTGCCTTGGTGAGATGGCAAACGAAGCCACCAACCGTTTCACGAAGTTGAGACATCGCTGGAAGTTACCTCGACCGTTAGCTTCGATACTACCAGAGCCATCGATTAGGAGAGCGAGATCAAGACGTTTACGACACACTAAAAAAAAAGGAAGATAAAATGAAATGTCAGGAGATGATTCAGCACCCGAGTAAAGTAAAAATACAAAATAAATTAAGGAAGAAGATTGCCCATAAAAAATTAAACGAGAAGAACTCTGTACAGAAACAACCTCATCACTCATTTAATGAAATACCTTTGCCGCTTGGTCTTATGTGGGGACCTGGGGGGCGTGGCGTGGGACGGAGTGGACGACCTGTGATAAAGGTTTGCAGTATCAGCATTGCATAGGTAGTGAAGGATATTGGGATATGGCGCGAAAAGTAGCCTGAGGGCACATGTGATGATCTTGAAGATACTGCGATAATGATCATAATGATGATTGTGATAATGATAACGATGACGATATTGATTATTACAATAATGAAGTGATAACGACAACGATAGGGATAATGATGATGATTATGAACATGACGACGAAAAATGTGATGACTATTATAATGACAAAGATAATAATAATGATGAAGATAATGATAAAGATGATAAAAAAATCGCTCAAAGTGTTGATAATGATTACGATTGTATGCTTTGCCGAGATGTAAAACTTCACACTTACCTTGACATAATTTTCTTGAGATGTGACGAGCGACCCGACTGAGGCTTCTGAAGTTAGCAGTGAACACGTATCGACTGTTTGTAGCTATCTGTTGAAGCTCTCGTCTTCGATATCGCCGACCGATTCCCAGAGCATACACCCACACCCCCTGGCTTCTCAGAGCCAGTGACGGTCTCCGAACAGAGTCTTGAGAGATGCCATCAGTCATTACTACCAGAGCCTACCAGAGCAAAGACATTTATGGGTTACTGTGTTATAATGTGACATAAAAGAAATTTCGGACTGCCGCGAATCATTCGAGAGATAAACCCAAAGAATGAACTCTGATTTCACTCACTTTTCCAACAATACTTACTTAACTCTCAAGGAAAATACCGCAATTGTTCTCACTTAAGTGATCATACGGGTTTTTGCCATTTTGCCTTTTGACGATTGCCGTAAAGGTCATGCATAACCTCTCTAATAATTCACGATGTTTTGGAAAAAATTGGTAAAATAACTTGGCGTTAAGGAAGCTAACCAGGAGAAAAGGTGAAATTCGCCGAATTGCGCAAAACGACATAATCTTGAAAGCAACGAGGAAAATGAAAAATACACCAATTCTTAAAAGCACAATCGATGTCCAGGAAATTATTCGGCAGTAAATTGTACACTTTCTCTCGTTTAACAAAAACATTGTCAGGATCCCTTTATTGTACGGACTTTTCAACTTCGCATGATATTAAAAATGAAAAAGAAGGAAAAACTAGATGCGAGTGTCTCTTACCTTGAGTGCCCTTCGACTTCGTCTAAACAAGCGATACAGCACGAAGTTCAAAGCTTTTCCAATCCTGGTTCCTCCTCGCGGATATCTGATCCGACTGATGGTACTCAACACACCAGCTTTGCTTCTGCTACGGTAGAAGTCCAATATTAGCCATGCGCGGGAGGAGAATAAGACCACTCCCACACGGGTGCGGCGCGGCGAAACATTAAAAGAAGACACCACACTCTTGACAAACTCAATGCATCGCTTGAAGTTCCCGCGTCCGGCAGAATTAATACTTCCAGATCCGTCAATCAAGAATGCTAAGTCGAGGCGTTTGTTGCACCCTAAGAAAGAGAGGATACCAATGAATAATTTTATAATAAGGCTCTTTGATAAAAAATGTAGGTTATAAACTGTGATCTTGAAGTCGTTCTAGAACGAACTATATCAACGGAAATGAGATTTGTATTGGCACAGGCACCGCTGTACCGTATCCTATCAATATACGGAGTATTTCCTTTTTGGCCAATTACCCCACGAGCTGGTCCCGGTTTCCATTGCAGAAACATTAGAAATATCGTTTCTCTCCCGGAATAGCGTGCTGCTCCATCGCTCAGGAATACAACACAGTGAGCTGCCCAAGGCTCAAACCTAGATCTCTCAACGCAGACTCCAACACGTTACCACACGGGTCTCACACACGTGACACGTAACACGCAAAGGAGGATCACCGATGACTAACATGCACACATAGAGTTATGTAGTTTAGAAAAGTCGCATACCTCGGACAGGTGGTCTGGGTCTTGGTCGTACTGGAGCTGTTAACAAGACACAAAGTGAGATACAATGAATACATGAAGTTCATATATTTTTGAATTGCGGTATTAGATACGTATGATGGACGATCCTCGCAGTGGATAGCGCTATTTAGGCAATAGCGAAAATCAGACCTGAAAAAAATCAGGTCTGTACGGGATTCGAACCACTAACCTCTGCGATACTAGTGCAGCGCTCTACCAATTGAGCTAACAAGCCAACTGGGAGCAGGCCGTTAAGTTGATTCGTAATAAACCCGTGAAAGTAATAAATGAGATACAATGAATATATATTGTGCATAAATTTTTGAACTGCGGTATTAGATACGTATGATGGACGATCCTCGCAGTGGATAGCGCTATTTAGGCAATAGCGAAAATCAGACCTGAAAAAAATCAGGTCTGTACGGGATTCGAACCACTAACCTCTGCGATACTAGTGCAGCGCTCTACCAATTGAGCTAACAAGCCAACTGGGAGCAGGCCGTTAAGTTGATTCGTAATAAACCCGTGAAAGTAATAAATGAGATACAATGAATATATATAGTGCATATATTTTTGAACTGCGGTATTAGATACGTATGATGGACGATCCTCGCAGTAGATAGCGCTACTTAGGCAATAGCGAAAATCAGACCTGAAAAAAATCCCAGTTGGCTTGTTAGCTCAATTGGTAGAGCGCTGCACTAGTATCGCAGAGGTCAGTGGTTCGAATCCCGTACAGGCCTGATTTTTTTCAGGTCTGATTTCCGCTATTGCCTAAATAGCGCTATCTACTGCGAGGATCGTCCATCATACGTAAGACACAAAGTAATGCGATATTAGAGATGACGCATTATCCATTACAAATTGTATAATAATCAAATATTCTTGAATGTTTCTTTGTGTTTTTATACCACAAACTACTATGCCATTTATTTTTTTTTAAGAGAATAATGTCTTATTATCAAGCTCTACTTACTTCTCCTAAAGCACCTTCGTTTCTTGGAAATGATTTTCCAGTGGGACAAAGCGCCATTGTAAACCTGCATACAGGAGATTCGTCCACGGAAATATCGTCCGTCACCGATACGAGCTCCCATTCTCACTGGGTAATTGGTCGCCAAACGTATCCTCCCGATATACTTCTTCGCCGTAAATCTTCTATTTACAAATAGTTTCGCTACTCCGGTTCTTTGATCATACGTCGCACCAACAAACTGCCATCGATTAGGTATAACAGTCCTGCTTAGAACTGCCTTCGTGAATCGGCGCCCTCTGCGACGCGTAAACCGCACAAAGAGCGTTCTCGGTGAAATCATCCAAAAGTGTACACCCCAACCGTTAGGCATGTAGTTAAAGATAGGTCCCGCGCGTCCCTGATGTAAAATCCACGCAAGGAAAGTGATGGAATTCTTGGTATCAAGGCCGCCTCGGTTGGGGAACTGGATATAACTGTTGCTTCTTCCGTAGAACTGGTAGGAGCCATCACGTGTTCCATCCGGTCCAGGCGCGGGGCGGACATAACTGAGTATTCCACGTGCATTCCGGCTGGTAATGATATCTTTACCCCTACTGCCTCCATTAAGTGGGAATATTGCGACAGCTCTAGTTGTAACTATCAAGTAAGAACAGAACCGCTCATTACTTCCAGAACTATACCTCACTTTGATAGGTGAAATAGCTTTGATTTGGAAAATCGAAAGAATGATTGCCTTTCAATTTCAATATAAATACTCTTTAAGAAGTAAATAAGAGGAAAATGGCGAACTCAAGGCAACATGCAACAACTGACCTTTTGGTCTGGGTGGTCTAACCGGTCTCACTGGTTTTGGCTTGGGTCTCACTGAAGATAAACGTAAAAAAAAGTTATGAACCACTTGAACGCAAAGCAAATGGAAAGTAAATCTGCAGTTTCTTCATACAAAATAAGGGAATAATGTAATTTCCGAGACTACGCTATGTAAAACAAACAGCACGATTTAATGTTCAGCTTCTAGCGAAGGTGAATTACACAGAAAATTAGCCTTGTAGATTTTATCTTCACACCTTCAAAGATTCTTTTTCAGCGCTTCTTTCGAAGAGCCACGATCTTGCATTCGACGGCGCAGGATCAAAATATCTTGCCACTTTCCACTTCTTACCATAAACGACGTAGCAATTCCTCTCTTCAAATTTCAGTCAGTTAAAACTTACAGAATACAAAGTGGGGGGGGGGGGAGGTAACTCTTTCTAAATCATTGTATTTTCGTTCCTCTTTGCTTTGAACCACAAACTCACCTCGGCTTTTGCACACTCTTCTCGCTAAGCTTCCAACAACGCTACTCAGGCGTCTGAAGCTAGTCCTGAAAATGTTACGAGAACTGGAGGCAATTTGATGCAACTGCCGTCGGCTTGTTTTTCGTCCGATTGCAACAACGAATGTGCTAACACCAGACCTTTGGAGACCAAGGGAAGGCTGCTTGACAGAATCCTGTGACAGGCCGTCTGTCAGCACTATCAGGGCCTAACAGAAACCAATAGTACTGATGTAAACACAATGGAAACAGACATTAAACATTCTAGGCAAAAACTAAGTGGTTGTCAATAGGTCGGAGACGGTTTTTTGTACCTGACTGATTGAGTAGTGGGCTATTTTTGAAATGGAGAACAGAACGTAGGTACAACTACTATGGATAAGTTCAGAAAATTTTACAGATACAAACTATTTAATACATTGGATCTTGGTTGTAAGATGTAATCCTGGACTATACATATTACTCCTCATGAAAAACTTGGAGCAGAATCTTAATAAATTTGAAATTGAATGTCGAAGTTGATACTGAGTTGTATTGATGTACCCCCCTGCGCTTTAAAATTGGTTTAGAAAACTTGCTCCGTATTCTTCCCAATCTGATCCAAAACTAAGACTCCTTCCGACTTTAGAGGTAACATCCAACGCTAGAGGCTGTCTCCATGCTTCAACTTTGATTTCTTATTGGCTCCATGTGACATTTTCTTTTCCTTTACTTGGGAGCTGTGATTTCAATGGTTTGCTTTATGAAATTTATTCGTAAAGCGCTTTATTGAAGAAGAGAGGGATTTACAAATGTTACCTTTCGACGTCTACTAGTTCGAAACAATCTGCGATACACAAATCTCAGGGCCTTTCCTATCCTGGTTCCACCAGATGGATACCTGATTCCATCAATCGCTCGGTACACCTGCCGCCTGTTCGTGTAGCGATTGAAGTCGAAAATCAGCCATGTTCGAGTGGAGAAGAGAGCAACACCCACTCGTGTGTTGGAACGCGATAATACGAAGGAAGCGACGATCCTTTTCACAAAATGTAGACAGCGACGGAAGTTGCCTTTGCCGGTACTTTCAATGCTGCCGGAGCCGTCAATCAAGAAAGCCAAATCAAGATGTGCTCGGCAAACTGTAAGGAGAACAGAAAAAAGGAAAATAAAAAATGGTGATGGAAAATCGAATTTTCGTTAAAAAGAGAGATAGCTGAGTTAATTCTGACTTTTAAACTGTTCTGCATTCCTGCAAAATTCGGCATTTTTGCCAAAGCGGTGAGCAGGCTTGTGGTGTTAATTTTTGAAGTACTTGCAATAGAAAGCATTAGTAACCCTGACTAAAGATAAACTTGATGACATAAGACAGCTTGGAAAATGTTGGTGCCCCCTGAATTGGCCTAGAGGATTCTTGTCTTAGCTTACCTCGACCGGATGGTCTGGGAACGGGTTTTGGTCTCGGATATGGCCTGGGTCGTGGTCTGGGTCGTGGCCTGGGACGAGGCACATGTGGTCGACCTATAAAAGATGTTTGACATGTAAAAACCACAAGGAGTAGTGTAATATAGCTCAAGTGTAAATCTGAAGGAATCTGCTTGTTGATTAACATCGTAAACGAGAGCTCAAGACACACCTTTCACAATGATAACATAGACATTATTAGCCCAAGGACCTCCTTTTCCTCCTCGACACCGCTTAGAGGTACCATACTTCTTGTAGGTGAGCTTAGCCCTAGGACCCATCCAGCATTCGCCTCCATTTTGAACTGCAAATAACCTGTAGCCTCGTTTTCGTGCCTGACGCGCGCAGTCTCTTACAGCAAACTTCAAGCCGCGCAAATTAGCGACCATGCTCCCCACGGCCCGTCTGGGTTTGTCTTTGAAGCAACCGACACTTCGGAGATAAACATTGGCCCAACCCTTTGCTGTAATCAGAACATGACATTAAAAGTTTACAAAATTACATGGAAATCTTAGGTTATTTCAATGTTGGTAAAATAAAGTTACAGAGAGTGCAGCATAGATGTATTCATCATCGTTTGGTTTAAACTCGTCACGAGCATAAACCATGCACACTGTCCACTGCAGCATTGGTGAGAAATCGAAAGGAATGTGCTAGCCTTTGAAACGCTAAGCATCAGTGAATCATGGCGAACTAATGATGTGACACAGTGTCTCTATGTTGAGTGACGGGCTTCCTGATACGATTTTGCTCTCTACTTTGTCACGACTTCAAAGAGGGAAGAATGAAAGTGAATTGAACCTGAGAAGATAAGGTTGGAGAGTATAAAGCGGACTGCAAACGATGAGCAAAAAATTGCACATATCGACAGAACTCCTAAAGATAACTAATCCATGACATAGCTTCTTTAAATCGTTGCATTCTGATGCTTTATCGTAAAAAAAATTAACACTAAACATACGTCTTCCAAACTTATACACATCCATTGCCCATGGTCCTCCTCTGCCTCGCCTACATCGATTAGTCGGCCCATAACGACTGTACGTCCTGTGGGCCAAACGGCTTGAGTAGCACTCTCCACCATTTTCCACCGCAAACACCTTAAATCGACGTCTAGCAGCTGCTTGTGCACATGCTTTAACAGGGTTTTTGGCTCGGTGGAAATTTCCAAGTCTGTACCTTATGGCTCGTCGTCGTCTGTCATTGTAACATCCTTCCCAGAAGTAGGTGACTTGATTAGGACCGGGAGGCTTAGGGCGAGGGAGTGGCTTTGGCTTCACACCTAGGTAGTTAAAAAGGTAGTCAAAAATTGTTAGTATAATTTCAGAGCTGAGCAAAGAGTTTCCAGCAATCTGATTGTTCGAGGGGTTCCTTATATGACGCTATATAAACCGCTCCGCGCGGTTTATATAAAATGTTAAAGTAAGATGTTAATAAATGTTACTATAATGCTATGTTTTTTTAGAAATTTCTCTGTTGTTCAGCTCTGAAATTATACTAAAACAATTATTCGCCTCAGGTTCGGTGAATATTGTCCAATAATCCCCTCGACTTCGTCTCGGGGATTATTCGACGATATTCACCTCGCCTTCGGCGAATAATTGTTAAATATGAGTTGTGAAGATGTTATAGGGTTGGTTAGAAAACACACTTGTGTCTCTGCAGTCTGGTGCTAAATCATCTACCCTGAGAAGAAGTAAACCTTCGTAATAAACTGAAACGTCTCACGCGTTTTGCAATTACAACCACAAAAACTTTTTTTTTTGATATCAACAAGCAACACCCGGTCATGCTTTAATATAGAGGCTCAGCCCAGCCCAAAGGTAAATTCCCTATGCAAACCTCTCGAGCACAGTTTGATACGGCTTTTTAAACTGTAATGTTTCAAAGAACTATTTTTCATTTGCATTTTCACGAGCTCCAAAATCTTTTTGCTTGCGCGGGAACTTATATACATCGTGACTTCAGTCCCCAGCCCCAAATTTTGGACATAAGTTAATGTCAGGTTTTCATTCTACCTCGAATCTCTCGGATTTAGTTTCTTGTCCACGAGGGGAACTTGTGCCAGTGTTAAGCAGTAGTTTTATTTGAAATAGCACGAGTTTAGCCTCTCGCTGCACGTGGAGTTTCGTCAGTATATTTACTGTAACCGTTGCTGGGTAAGTAGGTTCTCTACCACGGGTACTACGTTTTATAAAACACTCTATGACTGACCTGTTGCACCACAAGCTTTCCTCTTAATCACCCTGATAACTGAGTTCAGATTTCTAAACCGTGCAGTAAACACCAGTCTATGATTGGACGCCATCTGTCGTAACTGCCGGATGTTGTAGCGCAACCCCAAGCCAAGAGAGATGATTTCAACTCCACCCTTACGTAAAGTCCGTGCGGGACCAACTACATTATCATAAGAGTGTCCATCTGTCATGACAATGCACACCTTTCGCCTCCTACTTCGACGGAACAGATAGTGGTATGCGTAGCTTAATGCCCTACCAGTCTTCGTTCCTCCCCTTGGATACCGTATGCGACTTACAGCACTGAGAAGTTGGTTTTTGTTACCGAATCGATTGAAGCCAAATAATTTGTACGCTCTTGTGTTATAGAGGACCGCTCCTACGCGCGTGTAGCCACGTGATATGACAAAGGTACGAATCATGTTCTTGATAAATTGGAGGCAGCGTTTGAAGTTCGAGGGCCCTACGCTTCCAGAGCCATCGATGACGAAACCAAGATCAAGTTTTGTTTTGCAAACTTAAAAAAAAGAAAATGAGAAGAAAAAAGATAGTAAATATTTACCTTGGTCTCCGAAAGAACAAATACGTTGTTGGTTTGTTTACGACCACGAGACTGAGAAAAAAATCTGGACTATGAGAATTTGAGACCCAAAACTTTGGGCTCACGCTCCGGTGCATTAGCACTGAGCGACAGAGAACTTAAAGGGGAGCTGGGCCGTTCACCGGTTCATTTTGACAAGCCACAAGACGAAATAAGATGATTCTGTAATTCGGATACAATACGGAAACGTAAAAGGCTATGTTTCCGTTGCTTTACCGCAGGCGTCATCAATTAGTTACGTCACTAGAAACGCCCGTTGCGTTCATTGGAATACTGGCGGAAACAGGTGGAAAAGTGGCTGTGTCCGCAGCGACGGAATCATGAGTAAACGTCATGAATCCATCTATGACTTTCCTTTAACCAGTCACCTCTGATGACTATGCTCAAATCAAGCTCCTGAAAAGGGAAGTTTATTGGATTCGATACTCACCTCTTCCTCCGGGTCTCGGCTTCGGAATCGGAACAGGCATGGGGCCTGACAAAAGAAAGAGGAGGAACGTAAATACGATTCCAACACAGGAACTGGCCTGGTGAGACTTAGATCGTTTTAGTCATATACACGTAACAGTGGAATACCAGAGATAAAAAAGTACCATGACAGCCTTCTGTAATGGTTACGGTTTCTTCTTCCAAAATGTAAGGACATGTAAAGTCCACTAAGGCACTCAGAGATGGTTTGCTAAAAGGCTTCAAGAGGTAGGTTACCTGATAATTTATGTGAACTTGCACTAAAAGTATAGATACATTTTTCCTTTCTTGAACAGTTATATGCAAGAAAGCGCCACCCACTCCTTAGAATAAAATTTCTTTAAAGCCTACCTCTTCTAAAGCAAGCCCTCATTCGCCGGCGGATCATGTTAGTCGTCAAAGCAGCGCTATAAAACTGTAGGCACGCAATTCGACCGCGGAAATAGCGACAGTCACCCTGACGGGCTCCAACCCTGATCTCGTAATTAGTAGCCAATGAAATCTTTCTGATCTTTCTGCGTGTAACCATCTTTCCGTTAATATACAATTTAGCAACGCCAGTGTTTCGATTGTACGACGTTCCGACGAATTGCCATGTTCGCGGTTTTACACCGCGGTACGCCAACGCGTGCGTGAAGCGCCGTCCAAGACGCTGCGTATAACGCACAAACAGGGTCCTAGGGTTGATCATCCATAAGTGGACGCCCCATCCATTGCGCTTGTAGTTTACAATCGGTCCTGCGTTTCCTTCGTGATATATCCAGGCCAAAATGGTTATGCAGTTACGAACGTCCAGTGTTCCTTTGTTAGGGATCTCCACGTAGCTGTTTGGTCGACCAAGGAAGTAGTAGGAGCCGTATGGTAAACCATCTGGACCAGGGGTGAACAGGACGTGAGACGGGTAACCTGGTGGGTTCCTGTGGCGAAGTTCCCTTCCTCTGTATGTTTTACTGAACGGGAATATGGCGACGGCAGACATGGCGTCTGTTCATAAGCAAAAATATAGGCATTTGATCAATATATCTTATTAACCAAGCGCGAGGGCCGTACTGGAAGAATATCGGCGCAAGGTCTTTACAGTACGGACCGAGCGCATTGAGGTCCGTACAAAAAAGACCGAGGGTCGATATTTTTCCAGTACGGTCCCGAGCAAGCTTGGTTAATAAGAGATTTATTATATGACTGAAGTTCAAAGGGACACAAGTGCAGTATCATTCGGGACCATTCGGGACAGTGCCCGGTCCAATACTGAGAGAATATTGACCGGCAATAGAGCATTTTGATTGGTTGATTTTAGTTATTGGCCCTCTGACTGCCCGAGTCGTGTAATAAAATCTTTTATGTCAGCTTTGAGCAAGTTTGTAATAGCAACAATTAACGTTTATGATCATGTCATCTGTCATGCGCATGCGCCCGTGGTAGGTTAAGTGGGGGTTATCCTCTCGAAAGAAAGGAACTTCTTACATTACAAAATATTGATATTGTTTTTTTATTAAAGAGAGATTATGTGTTGACTCATCCGAAGCTACATTGTCATGCTGAGTGAAAAGTTCAAAGTGGAAGCCACGTCGCGTTTCTCCGCGACGAGATGAGACGGAGGCGATCGGGCAGAGAGGTTTCACATCATCAGTGATTATGCTAATCTTTGCTTTACAAAATAACTTTGAATGAAAAACAATCATAGTTATTGGCAACTGGCTTGATGGCATGTTATAACTAGTTGAAGATACATGAGTGTTGGTGGACTTACGTGGTTTTTTCGGTCTTTTGGTAATACCTGGAATAACGAAAAGTACTTTTTAGTTAAGTTCCAGAAAGGCGGTTACACTGGAAAGCATCGGGAAGAATGGGTGGACATCATAAATCATTCATTATCGATAAGCGGCTAATTTGAACTTTGAAGAACCCTAAATTAGAAAAGAATGGGCCAAAATTGGCCCAATAGGCTTCGTAAAACTCACTTTTCTGAGTTTAAGAAACGCTAGATTCTAAAATCAACACGCTTCTCTGTGAAGATAAATGATGTATCTACAATTTGCACCCAAAATCAGTGACATTTACGAAGTAGAAGGATTATCCGTGTATACTTGAAAATGCACAAAATTCGATCAGCTACAAAAATTGGAGAAAATAAAGCTCTGTTAATCACGACCAGCTCATCGGTGGCCGCAATCTTATTGACCTCACCAACAAATGTAGCAACTGTTTCCAGTTAGAGTATCAAAGCTGTTTTTTGCTTTGTGATTAGTCTGGAAAAACGCGTCTCTTTTCGACCCACAAGATGCAACACTAAAACCAGCTTGAACCAATCAGATACAAATGTAAATATCAGCCGCACCCTTCACACTCACGTTTTCCCGCGCTTGAAGTCGATTGCAAGCATTTAATTTGATTTGAGATTTCTTTGGTCTTTGCGATATTCTATCTGGTTAACTTCGGTTAAAGTTTTGCGACATTATCAATTCCTTAAAACTCCTTTCTATTGTTAGCAACTTTGTTTGCGCAAGATTTTCGCTCCCCCGTTGGCAATGGCGTCCCCTAAAATTCATAACATTAGCGGCCCGGATATAAATATTATTTTAGAAGTCGCTATTCCCATATTCGGATAAACCTAAAGACAGCATCTAGCTGTATTTGACCTCACCTCTACATGCCTTCTGTTTAATGGCCCTCACAAACGATCCCAACTTCTTAAAGTCCGCAGTGAAAACATGCCGACGATTGCTTGCAATCTGCAAAAGTTGTTTCATGCTGTATCGTTTTCCAACACCCACAGCAAACACCTGCACTCCCATGTTGCGCAGCACTGCAGCAGGCTTCTTGACTCTGTCGTGCGACTTGCCATCTGTCATCAGTATCAAGATCTTTCGGAGGTTGCTTCGAGCGAACAGATACCTCCTGGAGTAAGCCAGAGCCTTGCCGGTCTTAGTACCTCCTCCTGGATACTTGATTCTATTTATTGCCCGAAGTACGCCACGAAAACGTAGGCGTTGGCCAAAAGAGAATACTGGAATGACGCGGTGGGAGTACACCAGAAGTCCCACTCTTGAATGGCCAGGAGAGATCACAAACGAGCTGACTAAATTCTTGATGAAATTCAGACATCTTAAGAAATTCGCACGACCAACACTTCCGGAACCATCTACAATAAAGCCCAAGTCTAGGCGGGCTTTGCAAACTGTTGAAATAAATAAAACATGGCATTCGTATGAGGACGATATAATGAGTGAAAATTTGAAATATATGTTCATTTAGTTATTTATATCCCCCATTGTGCATATACTAGTGGGTTTCTGATGGTAAACGGACTGTTTGTAGTTTTTTTCCACGAAGGCAACAAACTACCAAAAAATGCATCTTACCCGGTAAAGCGGGGCGCGGTCGAGGTCTGGGCCGAGGAAGAGGTCGAGGGATGGGTCCTATGGAGAGAAGCAAAATAGGAAGTTATCCTGAAATAACACTTTGTTTGAATTAAGGTTCCCTCTACACTCAAGAGATTGGTTAAAGATACAGGATAAAATAATCTAAAACTCAAGTTTTACTGTAGCCAATCTCAAGATGAGATTATGAGCTCCAATTCATTTTCGCTGTAAACAAGTTTAAGATGTTATACATATCCTTCAAAAATTTAACATCCAGGCCAAAACCTACATACGTTTTCTAATAATTATATAGACGTCATTAGCCCACGGTCCTCCTCTTCCATTCTTACATCTCCCCGAGCGGCCATATTTGCTGAAAGTACGATGCGCCAGAGGACCAGAAAAGCATTCTCCGCCATCCTGAACACCGAATGCTCGATATCCTCGCCTGGCCGCCAAAAGGAAGCAACGCATGACTGCATCTCGCCTTCGTCGTAGGTTGCCGAGTAGTCTGCCCATGGCTCTGCGAGCTGTGTCTCTAAAACAGCCTCTTCGTTTGAACAGCCGTCCACTCGGGCGTGGTGGCGGGCGTGGTTTGGGAAGTCCTGCTAAAGTTAAAATAACAGATGAGTAAATTAGATCGAATGTAAATAAAACCACAGGAAGAAATTGCAGCTCAGAGGCCTAGGCTCGCAATGCAGATGAAAAAAAAAAAGAAATTACTTTACCTGGGACAAAACATCTCTTTGCACGCGCAGCTATTTGTCGAGCGTTTAAGGGGACGCTGTAAACCTGGAGACAAGAAATACGTCCACGGAAATACCTTCCATCACCTATTCTCACCCCCATTCTCGCAGGATAATTTGTAGCCAATCGTATTCTTCCAATTCGCTTCCTAGCGACCAGTCTTCCACCGACAAACAACTTGGCCATTCCTGTTGAGTGATCATAGGAGGCTCCAACGTATTGCCAGCGGCTTGGCTTAACAGTTCGGCTCATCAAAGCAGCAGTAAAGTCTCGAGTCCTCCTTTTCGTAAAGCGAACGAAAAGAGCATGCCGTCCAACCATCCAGAGGTGTACACCCCACGCCCTAGGATGATAGTTGAATATTGGTCCTGCCCGACCCTGGTGGTATACCCAAGCTAAAATAGTAAAGGACTTTTTGGTGTCTATTTTTCCGAAGTTAGGGAACTGAATAAAGCTGTTGCGTCGTCCAAAGAACTCATAACTTGTTCCGCGTCGTCCGTCGGGACCTGGAGCTGGTCGCACATTGGACATGATGCCTGGTGGATTCCTGTTAAAGCTGATGTCGCGTGACTTCGTGAGGGTGTTCAATGGGTAGACGGCAACCGCTCGCAGGGTTCCTTAAAAATGTAAAATAGAAAAAGAAAAAAGTCATAAGCGATCGTAAGTTTTCTTTGGGTCTAACTAGAGGCAAAATGCTTTAATCCTTACTAAAGGGCACATGTTGCAAGACGTGCTGGCATGAACAAAACTTTCTAGTTGGTAAGGTAAGTCAAAAAAAAAAAAATTAAAAAACAGTGGTACCTGAGGGTCTGTGAGGCGATGGCGGTTTTTTTCCTCCTTCAAGAAAAGCGCATAAATATGTAAATAATACAATAGACAAACAAGGAAACAAACTGCCAAACATTTTTAATTGATAGATTAGTTACTGAGAATCTGTAAGTAAAAAAAAAATGATAAAAAATAAATCAATAAATAATTTTAATACATTTTATCCCCTAGATTCTATGTAAAATCCATCATAGTCTTTGTACCCAAGAACAACTTGCAAAAAACGGAACGTTTACCTTTACAAGCCTTCTTTTTAATGGCCCTAATGATTGAATTAAGGTTTCTGAAATCAACTGTGAATACGTGACTGCGGTCCGTGGCCATCTGGTTCAGCTGAGCGATACTGTATCCTCTACCAACACCAACCGAGAAAACTTCAACATTAGCTCGCTTCAGCGCTTGGGCGGGTTTCAACACATGGTCTTGAGAGCGGCCATCAGTCAATACAAAAAGGACCCTTTTTCGGTTGGTCCTACCGCGGAACAGATATCTAAGCACATCCCAAAGAGCCTTCCCTGTGTTGGTTCCACCACGCGGGTACTTTATGGACGCAACCGCCCTGAGGACTTGGTACGCATTACTGTATCGAGTAAATGGGAATGTTCTACGTGGAGTGGAAGAGTAAACCTCAGTAGCGACGCGTGTGTATCGCTGAGAGATCTTGAATCCTCGAATAACATTCTGGATGAAAACCAGACAACGGCGGAAGTTTGAGAAGCCAACACTACCCGAGCCGTCAATAAGGAAGGCGAGATCCAATTTCGCAATACAAACTGAAGAAAGAGAAGGTGAAGATAAAAATCATATTTAGCCAAGAGAAAACAATTTTTTTCTCTCAATCTAGCTTAGGAGTCAGAAGATCGGAGCTTGTCCCGGTTTCAATCAGAGGAAACGATCAGAAGTATTGACACTTTCCATTGGACGGGGGAATCCGTTCATCGCAGAGTTACCGATACAGATTAATCACCCATTTCCCCGACAGTTTTCCGTATTTATTTACACTCAAGGGCGGAGTATGAATGCGAGAGTTAAGTGTCTTGCCCAACAAAACAATACAGTGACCCAATCAAAGCTTTAACCTGGCCTTCAAGCCAAGAATCGGTTGACTGACCTCTGTACCACTGTGCCTTCCAAAAGTTGTAATTAAGGGGGTGGGGTGGGTTGGGGCGGGTGGTGTCATTTTACCTCAATGATTATTACAAAGACGGAAATGAAGGGTTAACTTCAAACTGACAGATCCTATCCCGGTTTCTGTAGCTTTAAGAGACTAGGAATACTTTGAATACACTCCTTGAGTAAACCGACCAACATAGGAACTGTGCACAATTGTAAGGCTACGGTTGGTAGTAAAAATAATCAAGTTTAAAGACAGGCGTTAGATATCTCTGCTTGCCCCCAGGCAACTAAACTGATACAACCACCCGTTCTTCTCACCTTTTCCGGGTTTTGGCCGGGGTCTGGGCCTAGGTCTTGGAAGTGGTACTGGTCGTGGCCGAGGGCGAGGTCTGGGCCTAGGTCGAACTTCTTTTGGAAAAAAAACATGTTTTTGTCTCACAAAAAGCACGTAAAGAATCCTTTCATAGTTAGTTTGGGTGAAGCAACTGATAGTAAAGAGCAAATGAAGATAAAAAGTCCATAATACTCGGAACGTAGCTTACTTCTTCTATAGCATCTTCTCTTCTTAGAGTTGATTTTCCAGCGAGACAAGGCGCCATTGTAGACCTGCATACAGGAGATTCGTCCTCGGAAATATCGTCCATCCCCAATACGAGCTCCCATTCTCACAGGGTAATTAGTCGCCAGCCGTATTCGCCCAATGTACTTCCTTGCCGTGAATCTACTGTTTACAAACAACTTTGCTTGCCCGGTCCTTCCGTTGTACGTTGCACCGACAAACTGCCATCTTCCTGGAATCACGCTCCTACTAACAACAGCACTAGTAGAGCGGCGTCCTCTGCGGCGCGTAAACCGTACAAACAGCGTTCTCGGTGTAATCATCCAGAAGTGTACGCCCCAGCCGTTGGGCATGTAATTAAAGATGGGTCCTGCGCGTCCCTGATGTAAAATCCAGGCCAGGAGAGTTATTGAACTCTTAGTATCTAAGCCTCCTCGGTTAGGGAATTGAATGTAACTGTTACTTCTTCCGTAGAACTGGTAGGAACCGTCGCGTGTTCCATCTGGTCCGGGCGCGGGACGGACATAACTGAGTATTCCGCGCAAATTGCCCCGGTTACTGATGTCTTTGCCCTTCGTTCCTCCATTGAGGGGGAAAATAGCGACAGCTTTTGTTTTCACTGGTGAGATAGAACACAAAAAAAAGTAATGGACCATCAGACATAACCGAATTTAGATTTCCAAGTGAAATAATGGCATAAATAGAGAACAAATAAGAAAATAAAACGAAGAACAAAATCAATCATGATCACGAAGACTCAGAGGAACTCAAACAAACAAAACTACAAACCTTTAGGTCGAGTTGGCCTCACCGGCCGCACTGGTTTGGGTCGAGGTATTACTGCATAGAGAAGCGATAAAAGATAGGAGCCGATCAATACAGAGTAAAAAAAGAGAAAAAAGAGAAATAGAAGATAAGTTACTCATGTAAACCACTCTGCCAAATATTGAATGATTCACAAGATTTGTCTACGTGAAGATTAATGAGCAGCGCAATAACTGAATTGAACCTTTTTTAGAGCGTTTTTCTACAAAGCTTGATTCTCTTTCTGCTAAATACATATTCCATTGACTCTAAAGTTTTACTGAAGATTTCCACATGTGGCTCTATTACCTGCTCGGAAACACCTTCTCTGACGAACAAGTATCTGATTCCTGTTCAAAGCTTGTCTATAGACTTGCATGCATGAAATTCTTCCCTTGAAATATCTTCCGTCTCCAACTCGTGCCCCCATCCTGACAGGATAGTTAGTCGCCAGTCTAATTCGTCCTACACGAGTAGACACCACAAACCTCGAGTTCACAAACAAACGCGCTACACCGGTTCTGTAGTTGTAGGCGGCACCAACGAACTGCCATTTACGCGGCTTCACGCTTCGACTGTAGATCGCCCGAGTGAAACGCCTTCCTCTGCGACGTGTAAACCGTGCAAAAAGTGTCGACGGCGTAAGCATCCAAAAGTGAACACCCCATCCGTTCGGCATGTAATTAAAGATGGGTCCTGCCCGACCAGTATGGTAGATCCACGCCAGTAGAGTTATAGACCGACCAGTGTCGAGCCTTCCTCGGTTAGGGAACTCTACGTAGCTGTTGCTTCGGCCGAAGAACTCAATCGAGCCGCCTGGTAAGTTATCAGGTCCCTTAGCGAACCTTACCCGACCTAGCCTACCATTGGGATTTCTTGCGAAGCTGATGTCTCTGCCTTGAGTGTTACGGTTCAGTGGATACACAGCCACGGCTCGTTTTATTACTGCAATGATGCAGAGGTTAACATTGGTTACGGTGAACAAGTATAAAATAGCTTCTACCTGCTCGTAGACCTAGAATGAATATCGTGCTGTTTTTCTGAACTAAGGTAACGGTTTTTTTGATGACCAAATGCAATTTTAGGTCAGACATGTATCTGCTGCCTTTACGAAGGTATTTCATGCACAGTGATCTACCACAAATCTGTTCGAAAACGTTAAGTGCAAAGTCAATAAAAACGACTGGAATCTATCTAAATGAAGGTGAATTGACTATAAGAGGCCGCAAGGGGTAAAACGTTTACAAGTCAATCCATAGAGCACTTTTCAATTGACTGTTGAGAATGATTCGAATGCGTTGGTTTGGTTGATCACTCGCACTTACCAACTGGTTTTGGTGGGCGTTGTGGTCGCGGAGGTCGAGGTTTACCAGCTGAGAGAAAACATTGAAAATATTTGAACATAACTAGAGTAAACAGGAATCGCTTTCAAGCTACAGATATTCGCCGAGTGAATTTTAAAAATTGGCGTCAACAAATTAGAACGAGTTCTCTTGAGGAAACTTCATGAAACGGAGTTTTGGTTCTCTACGCTTTGTAAGAAGAAAAGCTAGATTTTCCTTCTTTAAAATCAGGGATGTCATAAAAATGCGGTCCGAAATTGGATTAAAAAAAAAATCACAACCTGTTCCAGTATGAGGGAATAGCAGCATTTTCAACAAGGGGGTCTTAGATTGGAGTCTTATTTGAAAGCGAAAGAAAAACGGGAGGTTTTACAGCTTTTTATAATTATTTTTCCGTACGAAAGGTAGAGAGATCACATGCATACAATGATACCATTTTATCTGCGCCTTCGCAATGTTCTTCTTCGCGTAAGCTGCATGTAATTTGAAAATACGGGTAAGAAGCTCATTACCTTTACAAGCTCTCCTTTTGATTATCTTAACAACAGATCCCAAGCTCTTAAAATCAGCAGTGAAAACGTCCCTCCTGTTGGATGACATCTGTATCAGTTGCCTCATGCTGTAGCGCTTTCCTACCCCTAGGGTAAGTATCCTAATTCCTCTCCGACGGATAAACGAGGCGGGGGGCTGTACTTTATCATACGAGCGGCCATCAGTCATGACAATCAAGACTTTGTTCTTTCGTCTGCTATAGCGCAAGAGCCTTTGATAAGTGTAGGTCAGCGCGTAACCCGTCTTAGTCCCGCCGCCTGTGTATCGTATGCGGCCAATCGCTCGAAGCAAGGAGCGTTGATCAAGGTAGCGATTAAAGCCGAAAATCTTAGAGGGGCGTGATGAATAGAGCACCACAGCGAAGCGGGTGTAACTTCGGGAGATTGTGAACACTCGGGCCATGTTTTTGACGAAGGTTAGGCAACGGCGGAAGTTAGCGCGGCCAACACTACCGGAAGCGTCTATGACAAAGGCGAGGTCGATTCTGGCCCTACACACTAAATAGTGAAGAGAAATAGAGTAGATTTAAATTTTACTGTGGGTTTTGAACATTAAGCAAGACAAGCATTAAATCAAGCGCACATAGAAAGGCTGCATTCAGAAAACGTAAATGAAGAATCTGTTGTTGAATTTGCTGGAGAAAATATTGCCGAAACGATTTATTTGACTGCACGTAGAAGGTAACTTAACCAATTTGTACCTTTTCCACCAGGGTAAGGACGGATGGGAGGCCTGGGTCTAGGGCCAGGTCTTGGTCTTGGGCTTGGTCGTGGAGGCTGCGGTCGTGGAACTATTAAAAAAAACAAAATAGCATCACAATTATTGTAAACAAAGTAATTTTCCCGTTGATTCTATGAATTTTTTTGTTTTAAGGGATGTGGTTTATTAACTCTTACTCCAAGTTTGTAAATATTACATAAAACACATTCTCTATTATTTCGAAAATGAGAAATACAGGCGTGAATTTCATTTTAAACAAATCCGTTATGAAATGGTCCAATTTCCCCCTTGAAAAATCGATATATCCGTCACGTGATTTCAACCTGAATAAAAAACACCCCACGCCCGTTACAGAGTGCCGGAAGGTGTCCTGATTGTCAGCTACTTTCAGACGAAGTTCGTCGCGTTTGTCTGAAAGTTTGCTGATACTACTGGGTGGATACAGTATCACCCGAGAGGAAAGATAATACTAAAACAATAATGCCTAACTTGAACGGAAATTGTATACCTATACCTCTCTTAAAGCATCTTGTTCGTCTCGCAAGTATCTGTCCGGCGGTCAGCGCCTTCTTGTACACCTGCATACAGGAAATACTGCCACGGAAATATCTCCCGTCTCCAATCCTGGCTCCCATTCTCACTGGGTAATTAGTGGCAAGTCTAATGCGACCAATACGGCGAGATGCAACAAATCTGTTTCCGACAAAAAGCCGAGCAATGCCAGTGCGATAATCATACGTACACCCCACGTAATTCCATGCGCGATAGCGAACTGTGCGACTAAACACGGCGGGTGTGAAGCGCCTGCCTCTTCGACGCGTGAAGCGTGCAAACAGCGTCCGTGGGTTAATCATCCAGAAGTGCACGCCCCAGCCGTTCGGCATATAGTTGAAGATCGGACCCGCGCGTCCAAGGTGTTTGATCCAGGCTATCAAGGTGATGGATTTTCTTGTGTCCAGTCTACCGCGGTTCGGGAACTCGATGTAGCTGTTCGCGCGGCCGTAAAACGATGTCGCTGTTCCTCGGACTCCGTCGGGACCTGGCGTGTACCTGACGTAGACACGTCGACCTGGCGGATTGCCATTGGTACTGATATCTCTCGCACCCGAGGAGGAACTTAATGGATACACTGCGCCTGCTCGGCCAACGGCTGTTGAACGACAAAACAACCACAAGGGTTAAGTATTTCACGACGCCGTTGGAGCTTACTTTAGACAAAAATGTGACTTTCTACTTAAGCCACTACATGATATGGAAATTAGCGTAAGCTGTAAATCAGCTTTTCCTCACAATTTCATAACACAGGCTGCAAACTTACTCAATAACGAGTTCGCACAAGGACTTATCGATCCCGACTTGTGCGGTATCTATTATGGTCAGTTAGTAATTCTAAATTAATCAAAATACAAAGCAAACAAAAGTACAGTCGATTATGAAAAAGTTTCACATAAAAGAGGTACATATTTATTAAACAATTTAGTAAGGTTTGCCCGTTAGCTTCCACATACCAGAAGGTTTTCCAGGCTTATTCGGTCGCGTTGGCTGGGAAACTACAATAAGAAATACAAATGTTTATTCCAATGAAATATAACTACACCTCAGAGTGGGAGGTCGAAAAGTCATAATTTTCAGAATTTCCAAAAGGTCTAGATTTGAGCAGATATATAACGAATTTGAGAAAATAAATACTTTTTCTAAAGGACATGTTTCGACAGTAACTATTGTCATCTTCAGTTAAAATATTTACAAAGTACAAAGTTGATTTTAAAGTTTCAAAATTTCCTGTTAAAGCCATATGCATTGTGGTTCTAATGACATTTCAAAAACTGTTCGTTATCAATGATTCTTTCCCAAACTCATTTTTTCTTAGTTTGAACCACACAGGCGAACATTTTTTCTATCTCACCTCTACACGCTTTCTGCTTGATAGCGCGCACCACGGAACCGAGATTCTTGAAGTCAGCTGTGAAAACCTTTCGACGGCTTCCGGACATCTGAAGCAACTGTTTCATGTTGTAGCGCTTGCCAATACCAAGCGAAAATATCTTCACACCTCGCCTGCGCATCAGGTTGGCAGGGCCTCTTACATCATCTTGCGAACGACCATCGGTCATACAAATGAGAACCTTTGAACTTCCTTTCCTTGCGCCGGCCAAGAGGCGGGAGTAAGCGTAAGAAAGCGCTGCACCTGTTCGGGTTCCTCTTCTAGGATATCGTATTCTGTCGATAGTACGGAGTACACTGTTGACTCCGCGATTTTGGTTGAAGGTGAGTATTAATCGTGAGCGCGAGGAGTATACCACAATTCCAACCCTCACGTAGCTTCTTGAAATGGTAAAGGAACGAACCATATTTTTGACGAAGCGGAGGCATCGCTTGAAGTTGCCTCTGCCGTATGCTTCTATGCTTCCAGAGCCATCGACTACAAAGGCCAAGTCTATTTTGGCACGGCATACTAGAAGAAAAGTGTTTATTTATTTACTTAGCAACAACAATGGTTTCATCGTGCTTGAAACAAAAGCAATGTGTTTACGAGAGTGCGTAAAACCACGTTTAAAATTTGATTTCAATCGTCACGATTTCCCAAAACACACTGAAATCCTTACAAGTTTCTTAAGACTGATTTCGATCTGAAGGTCCTTTTTTCATCGTAGTCAGGGCAAAAAAACAAAAAAACAGAAAAACAATAACAACAACAACCAAAAAAATGTAAGTGACTTCTAACAGGCATGGCTTTGAAAGAGCTCGAAAAGAGTGAATACGTCTTGGCAATAGACAAGCGAATAGTAGCAATGATACCTGGTTACAGATGTAAGAGAGGCGATTAATTTAAGCCTGACAAGAGAAAAAGGTTTTTACCTTTTCCAGACGGACCAGGAATTGGGGGTTGGGGCCTGGGTCGTGGCCTGGGTCCGGGTCTAGGTTTTGGCCTTGGAGGGGGTCGAATAACTGAAAAAACAGCAATAAAATTAGAATGACATCGAAATTATGATTCACTGCTGATGTTTTACATCCTCTTTGATTAGTTAAAACTAGACAGGAACATAATCAATTAAAAGATATTTTCAGATTTGACATATCCAATTAATACAAATGAGAAGAACGATCGGACTGAAACCTTAAAAAAAAGAAATTCAGACGGCTTCTATTAAAACTATAAGCACTCATTTGCTAAAAATAGTGCGCTGAAGTCAAGACGGAAATCATTCTGACCTTTCCTAAAGCATCTTGTCTTGCGCGCAAGAATCTGTCTTCTTGTCAGCGCCATTGGATACACCTGCATACACGATATCCGTCCAAAGAAGAACCGTGAATCACCAATACGTGCTCCCATTCTCACGGGATAATTCGTTGCCAATCGTATTCTTCCAACGTACTTTTGTGCCACAAACTGCCTTTGAATAAATAGTCTAGCTTGTCCGGACCTTCCATCATAGGTCGTGGCAACAAGCTGCCATCGATTGGGTACTACTCTTCTGCTAATCACGGCCTTAGTAAAGCGGCGTCCTCGTCGACGTGTGAACCGCACGAACAGCGTTCTAGGTGTAACCATCCAGAAGTGCACCCCCCAGCCGTTCGGCATGTAGTTGAAGATGGGTCCTGCACGTCCCTGATGCTAGATCCACGCCATCAGGGTAATCGATCGTTTGGTATCCAACTTTCCGCGATTAGGGAAATGGATGTTGCTGTTAGATTTACCAAAGAACTGATACGATCCATCGCGGGTCCTGTCAGGCCCTGGTGCTAGCCTCACATTACTTAGGATGGCTGTTGGGTTTTTGCTCAAGCTAATGTCGCGGCCTTTGACTCCTCCATTCAGTGGATAAATAGCCACAGCACGCACTGAGAATCAAAGACACAACGAGAAAGTGCAAAATGACTGAGTATAAGTACGTAATTTCCCGCCAAAGTTTGAAATTCATAGAGACATAAGCCTTAAACCATATAAAAAGGTAATGTTTACCTGGTTGGCGAGGTCTAGCAGGCTTTGGACCAGCCGGTTTTATGGGTTTGGCTCCTGGTTCTGAGGAACAGAGAACAAAGAAATAAAACATTTTGGTTGAGGTGAATGAAGAAAATCCAACCCTTGCCTTTTGCCCTTCCCACGTAATGTCCAAAATAAAGGAAATGATCAGTGAGGGTTTTTCATTTTTCGAGAAGCGAGGTCAAAGTACTGCAAGGTGAAAAAGAAGTACGAGTTTGATAAACTGGTCAAGGTTATAGTTACATTTCTAGACTTCTTACCCGCGCATATGCGACTCACGATTTTACGAACGGCCTTTCGTAGAGTCGCGAACTTCGAAGTAAACACATGCCTCGGAGTTCCGGCAATTTTCCCAAGCTGCCGTCGACTGTACTTAAGACCAATTCCGAGTGCATATATAGAGACACCAGTGCGACGAAGTCTTCTTGCTGGGACAATTACATCATCGTACGAGATACCATCTGTCATGACAATCAACACCTTCTTTCGCCCGAGGTGGGAGTGAGGTTTAAACAGGTACCGTGTAGCTCTTCTAATAGCTAAGCCGGTCCGGGTTCCTCCGTTGATATACGGGATCTTTTGGACAGCGTTCATGACGCCTCGCCTCGTGTAGTAGGTGTTAAACTGGAAGACTGGTTCAGGTCTGCTGGCGAACACGACTACACCAACGTGAGTTCCATGCCTAGAGATAACGAAGCTGGCCGCTACTTCCTTGATGAAGTCTTTCATGCGCTGGTAGTTACCACGACCGTACATTTCAATACTTCCAGAGGCATCAACAAGGAAACCGAGGTCAACCTTTGCTTTGCACACTACGGAGTAAATCGAATGAGCACATGTTAGGGGACTGACACTACACTGTTTACGTTGTTCAATCATCAGATCAACAGATAGATTCCACGTTGCAGTGTATCTATTTAGTAATAGATCACAAATGATGTCAAAATGTGCCAAGAACAAAACAGAGTGGCCCAGGAGGCGCACGTGTCACTGACACGTGCATTAACACGTGCCACATTAACGTCTTTTGTGATTCATTACTGTACAGACCCACGGCGACATAGAATCCATTTGTTTGCTGTGACAAAAAAGCGAAATGTTGCTAATGGTGACGTCATCTATGCGTCTGTCCTCTAATAGACCATAAGTAAGAACCAATTAAAATGAGTGTTTATCTCAGCTTGTCACATCACGTTCTATGCAAGCTTAAGGTTTCGTCACGGCGTCCCCTGTTATATATATCAAATTACGTGGCGCTGTTGAAACGCATCGAATGAACAGAAATTCAAAAAATAATTTTAACTTAAGTTTTTAAAATATGGAGTAATTTAACAGTTTCACCTTTTTTAAGAACACACATACAGAAGTTGATATTTTAAATTATACATCTTCTCAACCTTTCTTAGGCCACAAATGTGAAATTTGTATTGATTTTTCATCTCGCCTTTTAATCTCATCCCTTGACCCTTTTAAAAACTTCCAGAAAGACGATTAACCGGCATGTTTTTAGTTCTAGTACTTACTTGGTTTGCCAGGACGGAAGGGCACTCCACCCGGAACCACAGGGCGACCAGGCGTTACAGTACCTAAAAGTTTTAAAGGGATATCGTTCACATCGTTGTGACGGTTCAAAAACCTTCTATTTAAGTCTTATAAAACAAAACAATAAAGTTTTTGTTCGCGGGCATAAATATGTTTCGGGCCCGTCTCAGTGTCATTTTGGCCCAAGCCGTTAAGCGACGGTCATAGTGAACTCTGAGAAAGTATTACTATTACTATCACTTTGGAGAATATTGAAAAGATTAGGAAATGATCAACAAAAAATTAATAGCAAAACAGTCTGAATAATGATGCGAGCGGCCAAACGGTCTAATTAACAATTATTCCACGAGCGCGCGTTGGATATGAGATGATAGATAGCCAACGAGGCGCGTAGCGCCGAGTTGGCTATAATCATCTCATATCCAACAAGCGCGAGTGGAATAATTGTTTTAATTAAAAACGTTAAATTAAATTATTAAATTTTATTAAATTTTTAGCTCCCTTTTAATTTTAAGCTGACACGTACGCTTGCCATATTTGTAGATCATGGTATATTGGTTGATATACCATAATGGCTAAGCCATTAAAAAGTCTTGAATTGCATTATCCAATGATCTAGTTTTTAATAAAAGCAAATATCTTCATTTTAGCCCGCAAAATGCGCCATAATGCTCGACAAAGATGATAATAATGAGGCGTTTGATTCTCAATTCATAAGTCGTTCTCACAGATATTAGTTTCCAAGATTTCACTGATCAGTTTTTTCTTTATAAAATTTAAACTTCTCAGACCTGGTTAAATCCAAAATATAACATACATTGGTAACATTCTGACTCTCCCTCCACCCGTCCCTTTCGCTCCCAATGATGACTTACTTGGCGCGGACAGATTTTTTTTTTCTTACCAAAATTGACATGGTCAAAAGACGGAAACGTTTCAATATTTGTCACGAGGGATGAGGGTTTGTACAGACAGGTAAATAAAACACTATCAGTATATTTACTTTTCAAGAAACATCTTCTGCTTCGGGCTGCGATTTGTCTGGAGTTCAACGCCACACTGTACACCTGCATACAAGAGATTCTTCCTTTGAAGAAGCGACTGTCACCAACTCTTGCCCCCATCCTGACTGGATAATTTGTCGCCAGTCTAAATATTCCAATGCGCTTTCTTGCAACCAGTCTGCTGTTCAGATACAGCTTAGCCATGCCGCTCCTACCATCGTAACTTGCCGCTACGTATTGCCATTTTCTGCGCGCAACGCCACGGTATTGAATATGAGAAGTGAAGCGGCGTCCCCGTCGACGCATGAACCGTGCAAATAAAGTGGTAGGAGATGTCATCCAGAAATGGACTCCCCAGCCATTCGGCATGTAGTTGAAAATGGGACCCGAACTTCCTTCATGGTAGATCCAAGCCAAAAGAGTGATGGATCGTACTGTGTCCAGCGTACCTTTGTTGGGAAACTGGATGAAGCTGTTAGGTTTACCGATAAACTGGGTTGCGGTGTTCGGTCGCCCATCTGGACCAGTTGCATATCTGACAAGACCTCGTATTCCAGGTGGATTGGAGAAAACACCGATATCTCTTCCCTTCGTTCGATATGACAGTGGATACACAGCCATGGCACGTACAAAACCTTTAAATTCAAACGAATTGAAGGTACGGTGAGCACCATTCGTAAATTTAATTACTCCGTTTGGGCTATTTACTGCGTGATACAGTAAAGGGTATGAGCTTAAGATTAATAGTCCAACAACATCGGATTTCGATTTCGTTCAACATCAATATAATACTAACAGAATCTTCCATGCTTCAACTAATACCAGACGACTTGATTTTAGCCAAAGGTGGTGTTAATGAGTGTTTCTTTACAGCTCACTTGGGTCATGAGATTCTGGTAACCATTTCTAGGAGTCCCCTCCCCAGGTCTACATACTACACAGATAAACTTGCATTCTGGAAAGTCATTTACTTATGTAAATGAGTACTGAAAAAATCTTAAATGGATCGGTCAATCGGTCATCGTATATAATTTTAATGAAAAAATAAAACGTATAATAATACTCCTTAGATTGCTTTTAGAGAAGTAGTCGTTTTGAGGTGTGCGTTATTGTTGACCATTGCCCAAGGACTGTGAATAACTCTAGGCTTTCAACTTAACGGCCTGCTCCCAGTTGGCTTGTTAGCTCAATTGGTAGAGCGCTGCACTAGTATCGCAGAGTTCAGTGGTTCGAGTCCCGTACAAGCCTGATTTTTTTCAGGTCTGATTTTCGCTATTGCATAAATAGCGCTATCTACTGCGAGGATCGTGCATCAAACGTATCTAGGGTTTTGCTCGATAGGAAATCATTGGGGAGAGTGTCCATTGTTCTCGTCACAGTTGCTTGCAACAGCGAAAATTTGGTGGCGAAGCGTCTTCTGATTGGTTTTATTAGACGAAATGACGCACGCTTTCTTCTAGACAGAAAACTGCCTAGCTCATTAACTTGTTAGGGCGGAGCTAAGAAACAATGGCCTGACAAGGTAACGCTTGTGCTATTGTTTTTCTCATCACACTCATCACACTCAGTCCGAGTGTCCCTTTGTACCTTAACGTGATTTGGAGCGATATTCACTCAAGCAGGTTTCCAGAGTTTACAAATCGATGTTATCAGCAAAGTGTTTCGTTACTTACGCGCTGGACGGGAAGGTTTTCCTGGTTTGCTTGGTTTGACAGCACCTTTAAGGCATTCATAAACAAAAAATGCTTCTTAGTAATGATCGTGACACACTTTTCTTCGATATAGCACAAAAAGTTTATAATACGCTAATCATGTCTCTGAAATCTGTCTGATCGACAAATAAAGACTTCAGGAAGATTCAATGGTTGATCATTTTGAAAAGTATGGAGGAAGCTCAACCTGAACATGTAAGATGAAAACGTATGGCAAAATCGATCCAATTTGTTGAGACAGCGGAAAGGAAGGCAAAGAGCCTCACCTGCGCATGCCCTTGTTTTAATAATCCTGACAATTGATGGCAAATTCCTGAATCCTGCCGTGAAGACATGCCGTCTTGAAGACGCGATATGGATAAGTTGGTTAATGTTGTACCGCTTGCCAATGCCGAGAGCAAACAAAACCACGCCCTGTTTTTTTAGTGCACGTGCAGCTCCGCTCACACGGTCCTGGGAACGACCATCCGTCATCACAATCATGACTTGTTTACGGCGTCTGTGCTTGCGCCTAAACAGAGTCCGCTGGGCATAATACATTGCCATGCCTGTTTTAGTGCCTCCTCGTGGATATCTGATTCTTTCGATAGCTTTTAAGATATCACGTGTTCTACTGTAAGTGTTGAAGCTGAATATAAGGCGAGGACGGTGGGAAAACAGCACCACGCCGACTCGAGTAAGTCTTCGAGAGATTTTGAAGGACACGACCATTCTTTTGACGAAATCTAGGCAGCGTTTGAAATTTCCCTTGCCATACGCTTCAATGCTGCCGGAGCCATCGATGAGGAAGGTCATATCGATCTTGGCTTGGCAAACTGCGAGAATATACAAGAAAAAATTCAAAAGAGTCCTGTGCGCAACATGAAATTAAGGTAAAGGTAAAGGTAAAGGTCTCTATTTCTCTAAACAACATACGTGTTTAGTTACAATTTTAAGGTTGAAATCAGACAGGCGCCTCTGGCAGCTGTGTTTAGTCCGTAGCGATTTCACCTACCTACCCAACCCACCCCAGGGAGGACATCCATCACACAGTAATCTCGTGCGTGGGAAATTAACGTCTCCTACCCCAACCCTGCAGGAGACGGGACCTCCATTTATTCGTCCCTATCCGAGAAGACTAGAATATCTAACCATTTCTTGATGTTAAAGAAAGGAAGCATATTCTTCTCAATTAATTTTAAGACCCTGAGTGTTGGTCCGGCCGGTATTGAACTCTCGACCTCCCGCACAGCAGTCCGGCGCTCTCCCAATTGAGCTAACCAGGCGGCGGTAAGTTGATTAAGGGACTTTTTTTAAGGGACTTTTTTTTCCCCTCAAAGTTCATACATTCTTCTTCAGCCAATCTTACACAGTTTCGCGACAAAATTTTCCTGAGGAGTGGTTACTCTCTTATCAGCATGTTGATATAAAATATGAGCCAATACCATCTCAAAAGGAGATGAACGATTACCAAATTCACTGCAGTACAGGGACCTTAAGATGATAGTAGTCCAACAAAAAAAAAACTATAAAAGCTACTAAGACGAAGTCAGTTACCTCTTCCTGCTGGACGGATTGGACCGACTGGAATACCAGGAATAACAACAGGACCTGAAAGCGACATACCATAGAAGAATAATTAAAACCTACCCTAACCTGCATAATTTTGAATGTGAAAACTGTGTTAAAACATAGGAATCTTGCGCGTGTTCTAAAGTTAAACACATTTCTATTTCCACGCATTTCTTAGCTTTCTCTCCCGTCTTCATTTCTGTTTCCACCCACTTCCTAGCTTTCTCCCTTCTTCATTACACATATCGCTGTGTTAGTTAATCCTCCCGAACCGGTGAATGTGTGAATTTTTTGTCTACGAGTTGTAGAGTGGCAATGGAGCATCCTGGCATGTGACTTAACGGATAAAGCTATTGGTATTACTATACTTCAGACTGGAAGACAATACATACCTTTTCTGAAGCATCTGGTCTTTCGACGTAAAATTTGTTTAGTTGTGAGAGCGCGATCATACACCTGCATACACGAGATTCGTCCCCTGAAATATCTTCTGTCGCCAACACGGGCTCCCATTCTCACCGGGTAATTCGTTGCGAGTCTGATTCTCCCGATGTACGTCGTCGCTGTAAACCTGCCATTGACAAACAACTTCGCTTTTCCTGTGCGCTGGTTGTAGCTTGCACCAACAAACTGCCACCGACCAGGTATGACCTTCTTGCTCACAACCGCTTTGGTGAAGCGAAGCCGTCCACGGCGCGTAAAGCGGACAAACAGCGTTCTAGGTGAAATCATCCAAAAGTGAACACCCCAGCCATTCGGCTTGTAGTTAAAAATAGGGCCTGCTTGTCCTTGGTGGTAGATCCACGCTAAAAGCGTGTTGGAACGCTTCGTGTCTATTTTGCCACGATTTGGAAATTCAATGTAACTGTCGGGTCGACCAAGAAACTGATATGAGCCGTACGGTTTCTTATCGGGTCCTGGAGCAAATCGGACATTCCGTGCGAATCCTGTCGGGTTTCCAAACAAACTGACATCTCGTGTCCGCGTTCGGTAGGTTAGAGGGTATACCGCAGAGGCGCGAGCGGGACCTGTGAAAAGGCAGTTTAATGGATGTGACATATGTTACAGAAGTAACTGAAAGAATTTGATAACTAAGAATGACAAGTTACAACCTTGCCACCATTCAAAACAAGATCGTCGTTTACGAGAGCTGAGGGGTCCATGGTCTTTATATATAAACAAATAATGCGCTAATACGCCGTGACGAAACCGCTTTGAATCAAGAACTCGCCTCGTGCACATAGTGTAAGTTATGTTACTGGTCACAATGGTACAGATAAACAAATAGTGACTTATGCCTTATCATCAACAGACCGTCAAATTTAGAACAGTGCATGTGGGATCGATGCATGACAAGAAGCGGTCGCTCAAGAAAAGTTTAGAGCAAATTAAATGTTGACCGACAAATGTTATACGGTCGACTACGACAGTTCAACATCTCGGAAAAAAAAAAGCAGCTGGGTATGATGTAAAGTTATAATTTGGAAAACACCTCCACCTGTCTTTGACCCTTTACACCCTAATATCAGTATGCATACTTTCCATACTCTTCTCCGTACATTTCCAAAGGTGTTGACGAGGAGGATTTGTTTGACAAACAAGAGCTTCTTTATTGTTCATCACTTCCTTTATTCTTGTGATCTTAATGCGTGTCAGGGGTGACATTATCAGAAGAAACTAGGTGCTAGTCAGTCTTAGGAGTGTCTGTATTATCATATCATGGTAAGCTGCACTTACGAGGTGGTCTGACTGGCGGTCGAACCGTGGGTCGAACAGGAGGCCTTACGGGTGGTCTAATGGGTGGTCTCACAGGTTTCGCTGCAAAAAGATTATAAACAAAATAACTTCCCTCAAAAGTACTTCAGTAATGTGTACCTTGCAATTATCATAACATAGTTCATTACACGGTTACTGCGATATTTCTTTTCACAATTTTTTTTTTTAATTTTATTTGACCTGCGGACGAAAATCAAGCAAAGAAATGATCTTCGCGGGGGAACTACAATTTAATCGATCGGAGAAAAAGGTAGCGCCCGGTTTGTGCCTGAGGGGCACGAGTTCGAATCCCGTCGAAGCCTGAAGTTTTTCAGGCTTCTTTTCTGCAACTGCTTAAATTGCAAGTCCAATTGCATGGATCAATTCTTTGCTTGACGATTTCTTTTGATAATAATTTTGGTTAAGAAGTTTCGATATGCACATTTTAAAACAGTATATATTTTGGCCACGGCAACAAAGAAATAAAGAAAAAGCGTCTCCCGAAAGAATAAAAATTGAAGCATTTTCTTTTCTCTCCACCTTACTCTAGTCTTTCTGAAAGGCAACGAACCAAAAGATGGTCATCCACCATATGGAGCTCCCATTAACAAAAAATTTTAGTAATGCTATACCTTTGCAAGCTTTAGACTTTATCACTCGTACAATATTTTGCAGATTCCTAAAGCCTGCCACGTAGACTTGTCTCTTTGTGGTTGCTATCTGCATGAGCTGTCCAATGTTGTAATTCTTCCCAATTCCAATGGCAAATACATCTATTCCTGCGCGCTTTAGAGCAAGCGCACTTCCGCGCACGCGGTCATTAGATATCCCATCAGTCATCACGATCAAAACTTGCTTGCTGTTTCTGCGCCTGCTGTTAAACAGGTTACGCTGGGCAAATGACAAAGCGAGGCCCGTTTTGGTGATACTTCGGAGGTATGGAATACGGTCAATAGCTTTCATGAGGCGTCTTTTGTTATTGTACGTGTTAAAACCAAATACTTTGCGAACGTTTCTTGAATAAACAACAGCTCCAACGCGAGTGTAACGCCTTGAGATTTTAAACGAAGCCACCAATCTCTTGACGAAATTAAGACAACGTTTGAAGTTTCCTCTGCCCGATGCCTCGATGCTTCCGGAAGCGTCTATAACAAATGCTAAATCGATCTTGGCTACGCAAACTAAAGAAAGAAAACACAGATCAAGAATCTGGTTAAGAATAAATCACGACTGTTGGAGACAGGAAGTTACAATTGGGATTGCGTTAGAAGAAGCTACAATATTTTTTGATTTATTTCCATTTACAATGACGATGATCCAAAAAGTGATGTTGTCGATGTATCTGACAATATTAAGAAATCATTTCCTTTTTAGTTTCCATACATGTCAACCTGATTGTTCTCTGTGATTGACACGACCTTGGATGACCGAGCTTTATCACGAATGGTACCTAGCAACAACCAATTGTATTGCTTAAAATTTAATATAAGAATAGGAGTTCTTTATTAGTTGTTAGAGTAGCTCTTTACACACCCGCTGCAATTGAGGGAACGCATAAGGGGAATAAAAAATGCAGTCGACTCTACTGTTCTAAGTGGGTTATCGCTATATCCCTAGTAAACGCGGCAAAGTTTACAACACGACTATTACGAATGCATAAAACCCACAACACAGGGTTGGATATTAAAATGATAATAACAATGATAAAAAGAAAAAACGTAGAACGATTAAGTCTTTGGATCCCTTCTAAGGTAAAATGATCTTCCTTGAAAGAAATATCAGGTATAAGCTTTATTTTGAGTTGTAGACCTCAAGTGCTTTCTCATGGATACGATGGGTGAGACCTCACTCAAAGCAGATCTTGTGAGGAAAGCAGTAAAGCATTGTAAGAAAACACTTGATAAATACCTGGCCCAGCTGGACGAATGACCGTTGGAACAGTTATAGGACCTGGAACGATAGTAAAGAGAAAACGGTGAGGGCTTGAAAAAAAAAGTAATTGCCGCATCTTAGTGAATTCTGATAGAGAATTAAGTTCATTTTAGTCAGTGTGTAGCGTTCAAGATCAGCAGAAAGAAGAATGTTGGCTAACTCTAAACAGTTCCCTGATTAGGTCCACGTAGTTTATTACATGGCAGTCATAAATAAATTTTTTTCTCCCAGGTACGGCAACGAAGTTAAAATTCCAATTCATGGAGCAATAACTGCAACTTACCTCGAGTAAAGCATCTCCTTTTTCGTCGTAGAATCTGCGATGCGGACAATGGCTGATCATACACTTGCATGCAGGAAATACGACCGAAGAGGTATCTCCTATCACCAGCGCGAGCTCCCATACGTACAGGATAGTTTGTGGCCAGTCGAATCTTACCAATGCGCCTACTTACTGTAAACCGCCCGTTCACAAACAACTTAGCTATACCACTTCTGCCATCATAGGTTGCTCCCACAAACTGCCATCGACGATGCAGGATTCTGGTTGTAACCGCCGCTGTAAATCGGCGTCCTTTACGGCGAGTAAACCGTACAAACAGCGTCGTTGGTGAAATCATCCAAAAGTGTACGCCCCAGCCGTTCGGCATGTAGTTAAATATTGGTCCTGCACGTCCCTCGTGGTAAATCCACGCCAGTAAAGTGATGGAGCGCTTGGTGTCGAGTCTACCGCGGTTGGGGAACTCGATGAAGCTGTTTTGGTGTCCGAGGAATCGCGTTGCCGTATTGGGTCTTCCGTCAGGGCCTGTTATGTACCTGATGCTGCGAATGGTCCCCGCAGGATTACGATACAAACTGAGGTCACGCCCGCGCGTGCGCAGACTAAGCGGGTACACAGCTTGGGCTCTCGGGTTGACGACTGAAAATGTTAACCAAAAGTGTCACACGTGCCTCTTTCAGAACAGAATAAGAGCTTCTGACTAATGAAGAAGGCTAACATTTTTTCTACAGTGGATCAGCGAGGAAAATGACTCACATAGCCTGCACATCTAACCTTTTACAAAGGTTAAACTTACATATTCTTACAAAATAATAGCTAACCAATTGCAAAGGAAAAACATCATTTAATATAGCTATCGTAGTGATCATTTGCTGTTTGGATTCCTATAGGTGGAAACCACTGTTCACTGATCTTATGTTGTTTTCGTTTAGGAAAATGTTCTTTTTTTACAAGGCTGAAATTTAATATGAAGCTTGCGGTAAAATGGCACCCTCTCTAATGAACTGCCATTTTCTTACATGCTAAAGTGCTTAAATCTAGAGTGTTTCGATGTCTTAAAGAATATTCCGCACCCTTGTTTGTTATCTCTGTTTTCCTTACCTGGACGAACTGGGGACTTACGAGGGCGTGTAGGGCGAACCGGTTTTGGTCTTGCAGGAAGTGGATGCACTCCTAGAATGCAATGTAAAAAACAGCTTGGTCACAAAAGAAAGCGATCGTTAATCGTCTATCGAAAGTTATCCAAGATTGTTTTGGTTTTATTTCACCGCACTTTGCACTCAGTCTGGAGACATCGTATCACCTCCTCAAAGAGATGGATTACGGTCAATTTTTTCATGGGGCGACTTTTGTTGTTGTATGTGTTGAAGCCAAACACTGTGCCATTGCAACTGAGCCACTGAAGTTTTAGGTTATATTCGCGCATACACGACAAGTTCTTATTGACATTTAATTTTTTTCTTACTGGTCTTCTTAGTTACTGGGATTTTGTCTTTAATAACGAGTGGCAAATATAATTGGCACGCTTCCCCTCAGTAGGTCGTCAACAACTATTTACTCAACATAAGAAACAGAAATCTTGTTATCAAATTCGAATAAGTTCCTTCCACCAAACAATGTTTCAAGAAATCAGTGACGACCATTTTTTTGACACCAGGCAACATTGAAATAGGGGAAGGAGGAAATAAATGGAAGGTATTGAAAAATTCAAATAAGAAAGAAGAGCGTGTCAAGACGTTTGCCACTCATTGTATTCTAGCTATAAACTTTTGTGAAATATCTAGGAATTCTGATAGATAATAACCTCTCTTGGAAGTATCATATTGATTATATCTCATCTAAAGTTAGTAAAGGAATTGGTATAATTGCCAGGTTAAGACATCTTGTCCCATTTGCCACACTTCTTAACATCTACCGCTCCTTAATTGAACCCTATATCTCTTATGGTCTTATTGCCTGGGGACAAGCTGCTAACACTCATTTAAATAAGGTTCTCATTTTACAAAAACGTGCTCTACGACTAATGTATTTTGCGGATAGCAAAACTCATAGTGCCCCGCTATTTGTTAACTCCAGAATCTTACCAATAACTATGCTCTATTCTCATTTGGTTTCCTCTTTGATGCATGACATTGATAATCACCGTGCCCCGTCTAATATTTCTATGCTCTTTCTCCACTCCGAGCAGGTTCATCACCATTTCACAAGATTCTCAGCAACGGCTAATCTATACGTTAAAGCGTCTAGAACTAACCAACTTTTATTTTCTTTTGCTAGAATAGGTGTAAGATTGTGGAATAGCATCCCAAAAGAACTTCGTATTAAAAACANCTAATTGCGGGTCACCTAGGACTGTGATAATATTGTTTTGCTAACAAATAAATAAATTGAATTGAATTGAATAGCTATTGTTCATTCTTTCCTCCCGTGACTCTCATCGGTGAGGTACGTGTCTTACGAGCGTGAAATTAAAGATAGTTGCAACGACTCGCTTACCTTTGAAGCATTTTGCCTTTCGTTTGATGATCTGCCATCTAGATAGGACCCGTCCATAAACTTGCATACAGGAGATTCTCCCACGGAAGTACCTGCCTCGAGCAGCTCCCATGATTGCCGGGATATTTGTACCAAGACGAACTCTTCTGAGCCGCGTACGAGAAACGAGTCTTCCGTTGACATAAATCCTCGTCTCACCCGTTTTCTGTCCGTAAGAGGCGGCTACAAAGTGCCATCTACGATAACGTAGAACTCCGCGCGCTTTGAGTGGGCGGATTCTGCGGTTCCGTGATCCCCGCGGGAAAATTCGCATAAACAAACTACGCGCTCTCCCAACAGAGAAATCGACGCCGTATTTAAAGATCGGTCCAGGGCCCTCTGGGTAAAGCCAAGCCAGTAATGTTACTGCCCTCTGTGCGTCTAAACGACCGCGATTTGGGAATCGGATCAAGCTGTTTCTTCGACCGTAAAACTGGTACGATGTACCGGCTTTTCCATCAGGTCCGACCGCAGGGCGCACAAAACCGAGAATACCCGGTGGGTTCCCGAAGAGACCAACGTCTTTTCCTTTGATTCGGTACTGAAGAGGGTAAATGGCTAGAGCACGCGTAGGTCCTAAGATACACATTAAAATGACATTGGTTGGTTGAGGTAACATATCGACACAACTCCTACGTAGTAATTTATTAGACTCATTGGCTTAGATATTTTAAGGCAATGATGATTCATTTTAAGCGTGATCGAGCAAACGTCATTCTATGAAGGGATGTGTGCTTTATTTCCTTAATGCAAATCTGGTAAGGGACTGCGAAGAAAAAATGCTGCCAGCGAACGTAACACCTATTAGGTTTTTTCAATCTCGTATTGCACAGTATCTTACAACACTATGGAGTGCCACTTCGCTCCTAGCAATGTCGTAATTAATTTTCTTAGATGATGATCGATTCAGTTAATGATTTATTCAATTATAATTTGAATATATCAACAAAGTTGAAGTAGTAAATTGGCCACCGTTACGATTATAAAAGCTGACGTTTCGAGCATTAGCCCTTCGTCGGAGCGAATAGGGGAATTGTGGGTTGTGTGTGCATTTAAAGGCAGAAAAAGAAGCTACGTGATTGGTGGGAACATGGCAATTAGAAAAACACGAATAAATTAGTGGAATGAAAAGCGTTCGTTGATACCTGTGGGATTTAAACGGCCGGTTTGAAAGATGAGCTTTTGTTGAAGAGTTTTCCGACTTTCCGTGCTACCTAAGTATAAGGAAAGACCGCAGATTGCCATGTGCTGCTTAGAATGGTTAGGTCAATTAAAATGTCTAGCGACTGGTTTCGATGTGTCCTTGTCATTCCTCTCCACGTCGCGAAGGTGTTCTTGGAATCGGTCACCTAGTCTTCTGCCTGTTTCGCCGATGTAAATCTTTTTGCAATAAGTGCAAGTTATGCAATAGATTACATTGGCGGAGGTGCACGTGAAGTGATCGGTGATCTTAATGGATCGTTTGGGTCCCGATATTTTCTCAGTGTTGTGAATGAAAGGACACGTTTTGCATCGTGCACGAGCGCATTTAAAAGTGCCTGGTTGGTCATTAGTCTGAAAAGAACTTCTGACCAAAAAATTGCCTATGTTTTTGTCGCGTTTGAATGAAATGAGCGGAGGCTGCGAAAAGATAGTGCTTGTCTCTGGATCGTTTTGAAGTAATTTAAAGTTTTTAAGAATGATGGATTTAACTGAGTGGTTGTGAGGGTGAAACGTGAGAGTGAATGGAATGCGGTCGGAATCTTCCTTATGCGACGTTTGTAGTGCTGAATGTCGATCAATAAGTTGNTGTGGCTTGTGTGTGCTTTTAAAGGCAGAAAATGGAGCTACGTGATTGGTGGGAACATGGCAACGGGAAAAACACGTATAAATTAGTGGAATGAAAAGCGTCCATTGATACCTGTGGGATTTAGACTGCCGGTTAGATTGCCGATTTAGATTGCATAACTTGCACTTATTGCAAAAAGATTTACATCGGCGAAACAGGCAGAAGACTAGGTGACCGATTCCAAGAACACCTTCGCGACGTGGAGAGGAATGACAAGGACACATCGAAACCAGTCGCTAGACATTTTAATTGACCTAACCATTCTAAGCAGCACATGGCAATCTGCGGTCTTTCCTTATACTTAGGTAGCACGGAAAGTCGGAAAACTCTTCAACAAAAGCTCATCTTTCAAACCGGCCGTTTAAATCCCACAGGTATCAACGAACGCTTTTCATTCCACTAATTTATTCGTGTTTTTCTAGTTGCCATGTTCCCACCAATCACGTAGCTTCTTTTTCTGCCTTTAAAAGCACACACAACCCACAATTCCCCTATTCGCTCCGACGAAGGGCTAACGCTCGAAACGTCAGCTTTTATAATCGTAACGGTGGCCAATTTACCACTTCAACTTTGTCGATATATTCAAATTATTTCGTTACCCCCACCGACGCAGTCCCAAACAGTTTCTTTAGAAACTATCAGCCTTTATTCAATTATAACTTACCAACAAATTTAAAATTGACCCGCGAGGTATCGCACGGCAGCAAGATGCGCTTTAGCCTAGGCTCTTGGAAAAATTGTCACATAAAACGAGGTCTGTGGAGACAAGCTATAGAGGGACTTACCAGGTTTCGGAGGACGGCGCGTTGGTGGACGTGTTGGAGGTCTGGGTACAACTGGTTTGACAGGGGTTACGAATTTATCTAAAATAAACGTAAGCACGTGTTGAGCTAAAAAAGATTATAAAGATTATTGCTATCCCTGTTGGTTATGTATAATAAGTCCCTCTATTATTTAGCCAGGTCGCAGTTTGTTTCTCTTCCTTTCCGTTTCGACAAGTTTGAGGAATGGAATCAAATATCAAAATGACAAAATAATTAAACCAAATAAAGATACAAAACACCGACAAAGAAACAATAATAATAAAAAAAGACAAATGTGTCTTTTAAACTACACAGGAGCAAATGCACCCTGGTTCCTTTTTTTAAAAAAATGAAAACAGGAACTATACAATGGCATCAGGGAGATCTTCATCGCCGAAACTAAGGTTAAATGAAACGGAATTAAATCGAATGAAACCAACGAAAAAGAGCATGAAGTGGAAGGAAGGGGAAAAAAGAACTGTAATGCGAGCAAGAAACTACTAACCTGACTTGCAGACCTTCTTTTTCATTAGTGTCACCAGAGACTCAATATTCCTATAGGCTGCTGTATAAACATGTCGACGATCAGTAGCGATATACTGCAGCTCACTAAACTTGTATCGCCTTCCAATTCCCACAGCGAATACTTGTACTCTTGACCTTTGAATCAAACTTGTTGCTCGGCGGATGTCATCTCTGGACGGGCCAGTAGTCATCAAAACCAGGACCCTTTTCCTGGAGGTCCGGCGTATGATGTTTGTGTATGAGTACTGCAAGGCAGCCCCTGTGTAACGCGCTCCACATACACGCTTCATGTTTTTAATGACTCGGATAACATAGGACTTTTTGGCGCTGAAACTGATTAAGAGTTTAGGGAACTTCGCATACATAATCAAGCTGATTCGTACTCGTTTGGCGGAGATACGCAGCTCGCTAATCAAACGAATCAGGAAGGTCTTCACACGGAGAAAGTTAGCTTTGGTAAAGCGATCGTTTTCGGTGCAGGCGTCTATGACGAATGTAAGGTCGATCTTGGGTTTGCAGACTGAGACAAAAGGGAATAAAAACGCACATCAATACAAGGAATATTTCAGATTAAGTATGAGTAATATACATAAGATTAAGTGAAATTTGGTCAGAAGTCAGGCAATGTAACTAAACCAATCTGACAAATCACGTCCGACTTACGCCACCTGAGCCTTATAGCAAATAACATCACAGCTAAACTGACCAATCAGCTTTAATACACGAACAAGACTTATAACATTCGACTGACAACAACTCTCCACTTGACTCTGATGATGACCGCTGCTCAGGATGACTGCTGCTCGAAACTTCAGTCACTTGTAGCATCAAAAATCCTTATAAGGACTGCCCTCACCCAGACGATCAGACTACACGTTGATCACTTGCAAATTAGTGTCTTCTTTGTTAACTGGGTTTCAGTGGTTAGTCCAGTGGTTAACCTCTGCACGCCTTTGTGTTAAATCTACGAATTTATCAGTTAAATGTGCAACTTGACTGGATGCAAAAGAATAGAACTGTACGTTATCTATATATGCCCAAGGGATAATACAAAGACGGTATTGAAGAGTATCATCCATAGCTGTCAATATTAACAGAGGAATAAATGAAATATCTGACCTTTTCCAGATGGTCCTGGCGGTCCACCTGTGGGAGAAAATGAACAATAAAAATAAAGATTTGCGAAACACAAAGTTTGTCTCTGAAGAATTAAAATCAGTGAAAGTTATAAAACAGATTGAGGTATAATATTAAAATGCAAGAGGAGAGAAAGAACGAAAAACTGCAAAGCAGACCTACAGAGAAACAAAAGACCCAAACAGACACATACAACGACCAACAAACAGGCAGATAGATATAATGACAGATGGATGGACAGTAAGGTCGGGAAAAGAGGACGAAGGGGATAAAATCTTTAAAAAGACCTTGCTGATGAGTCAGGATATTTAGCACCTTTGGTTTAATTTTTTAATTGGGGACATTGCAAATATATAAAGTTATGGAATAATTCAGGGGAACATGAATCGCCAAAGGTGCCAGCTTATGGAATGAGAACCTTACAAAGCCCATCGGGAGAGTTGTACGCTGGAGTATCGAGACACAAATACAACTGAGTAAGAGAGTGGACGTTTTTAATTTTGGAATTCCAAATTTAGTATTAATTCAACCTTAACCATTCAGCTGCGCTGACTTCAGCAATAGCCAGCATTTACCCCAAGCCCAGCAGACGGGAAGACACAAAGAATCTAACAGACAGAGGCAGACATACGGACAGAAAAATAGATGCATGAAGAATAGACTAACGAATGGAGAGACATACGGACAACGAAACCATAAAGACAGGTACAATGACACACAGACACTCACACACTGACAAGTAGGTGCACAAACAATGATAGACGGAGAGACGGAGAGACGGAGAGACGGAGAGACGGAGAGACAGAGAAACAAATTAAACAGACCCACGATTAAACAACTCACGTCTAAAGCATCGCTTCTTCCTGCGTGCAATCTGATTAGGGTTCAATGCTACATCAAAAACCATCACACATGATATACGTCCACGGAAATACCGCCCATCTCCTATCCTAGCACCCATCCTCACAGGATAATTTGTCGCCAGACGAATTCGGCCCAATCTCCTTTGCGCTATTACTTTACTATCTAAATACAACTTTGCATATCCCGTATAGTGATCGTATGTAGCTGCAATGTACTGCCATGTGCGAGGGTTAATCCTGGGGCTGGCAACAGCCGTCGTAGACTTCCTTCCCTGACGACGCGTATAACGTACAAACAGCGTTCGCGGCGACAGCATCCACAGATGCACTCCCCAGCCGTTTGGCATGTAGTTAAAGATTGGGCCTGCACGTCCCGTATGCTAGATCCATGCGATGATTGTGCTTGATCTTCTCGTGTCGAGGTTGCCCCTGTTTGGGAACTCGATGAAGCTGTCGCGGCGCCCGAAAAACTGGTACGAGCCTCCGGGTAACTTGTCTGGACCTGGTGCCGATCGTACGTAACCAAGCTTTCCTGGTGGGTTGCCGAACACACTGATGTCACGACCTCTGGTACGCGAGGTCAGAGGGTAGAATGCTGAGGCTTTATATGGTCCTTAAAAAGAGAAGGACGAGAACAAAACATATTCAAATCTGATCTTCAACGAGTATCGCAGTGAACAATTTTCGTGGCAAATTAGCAAATTCTTTTGATACACCCAAAAATAAAACGACATTTATGCTGCACTTTTTGGTATTATATTATCCCATACAGCCGCTTTGTGGGAAGCAGATTCTAAAAGAGGAGTTAAACGTTAGCCCTTTTGGAAATTTTCAGGCCATTACATCAATTGTTTGACGATTGATTAGCTTTCGACAGTTGTGTCGGCTTCCCAGCCATGGATATGTTATTGTATTTTGATTGATAATAATATTACATTGTTTACATATAACCTTTACCTTTAGGTTTTGTTGGTGTTTGTGTCGGAGATGGTGACGGCGTTGGTGACTTGGGTTTCGTTGTGGGCACTTTGAAAAAAGTACACAAGTGAGACTAGTGGACTAAATAATCAACTCTTAGGCAAAAGAAGTACAGCGACGATAGGGAAGCAGAGGAAAGCGGAGGAACATAGTAGAGTTAAAATATGTTTTATTTCCCCGTTACTCCACTGGCTCATTGACCCTATGACCACAACGCTTGATGTTTGAACTACGATGTCTAAACTGACAGTCTGTGATCGAAATACAGTGCATTGATCAGTTTGCTAATCCACATTGGTTTTACATTGGTTTATAATACTCATATTTAGCAAATGCGATAAAAAAAGTCAATGTGAATGACTTATTAAAAATAATAGATTATTACTTTTTGGGTTACTTACAGGGCCTGAAGCAGGTTTTACTAGCCGCTAAAATTTGTTTCCGGTTCAGCGCGCGACTGTAGATCTGCACGCAGAAGATCCTTCCCTTGAAGTAGCGTTTGTCGCCATGTCGTGCTCCAAGCCTGATTGGATAGTTTGTAGCCAATCGGAATCGTCCAATACTCTTAACCACAAGTAGCCTGGAATTAACCCAGAGTTTGGCAACCCCAGTCTTGAAGTCGTATGTAGCACCAACGTAATTCCATGCCCTGTAACGTATTTTTCTACTGGTGACGACCACTGCCTTTGTGAAAACGCCATCTCTGCGAACGAATCGTGCAAAGAGCGTGCGCGGTCCAATCATCCATAGGTGTACGCCCCACCCAGGACCTGTTCTATAGTTGACTATGGGACCTTTAAGACCCTCGTGGTAAATCCATGTCAAAATGGAGATCGACGCCACTGTGTCGAGTTTTCCTTTATTATTTGGGATTTCGATGTAGCTGTTACGGTTGCCAAGGAATTCAGTCGCTCCGTCTTTTCTTCCGTCTGGGCTTGGTGCGAATCTAACCCCAACGCGTCTTCCAGTGGGGCATTTACGTCGGCTGATGTCACGAGCGCCATTGATCCTATCCAGTGGATAAACAGCCACCAAAAGCGGAAGCTCTAAAGAAAAGACATGCCAATGTTACTTCCTCGGGCAAAAGTTCACAAATTTGGCCAAAATCTCCTAAGGAAATAATATGTGAATATCATGAAAAACCTTGGTGGTTTTTTAACCGGAGTGACTGAACTCCCCATCCAACAACAAACAATGTTGATGCGAAGGAAATGATAAAAGAGGTAGTAACCAACATTGTACTGAGCCAAAAGGACCACGAGGTGAAAAGAACGCGCAAGTAAGTTATTGGTGTTTAGATACTTTACATCTACCAGCCATAGGTAAACCTTCGGGAAAGCATATGCTGCCAAAACTTGATTGACATTTTTCTAGATCATTACTTTCTTTAAGAATTCCTGACTTTTAAAAACACCCAGCTCAGTGACAGGTAGACAAGGAATAACTAACATATCTTTCTCTCACCTGGAGGCGGACGGGTTGGTGTCGGTCGGGCTAAGAAAAGTGAAGCAAAAGATAAATATGTTATCGACGAGAATGATACATAGAAAAAAATACAGATTTAAGTCTGTCAGAAATTATGATAATCTAAAGCAAGACAAACCTCTGAAACATTTCCTTTTGATACTCCTAAGCTGTCTTCCGTTCAGTGCTCGATCATAAATCTGAAGACAAGCGATCCGTCCACGGAAGATTCTCTTGTCTCGAGGTTTTTTCCCTGATATTGCCGGGTAGTTGGTGGCCAACTGAATCTTCCCGATATTTCTCTGGGATATTGGTATGGCGTCATTCCACAGAGTGGCCAGACCCGTGACGTAGTCATAAGTTGCAGCTATGTAATTCCAAGCCTTTGGTTTGATTCTCCGGCTTGTGACAACACTGATGGTCTGCAGGGACCTGGGCACGAACTTCACCAAGAGAGTACGCGCATTCTTCATCCACAGATGCACTCCCCAGCCGCGAGGGAAGTAGTGGAAGATTGGTCCACTACCTTCAGGGTACACCCACACAACGATGGTAAGGGAGTTCTTTGTATCCAGGCAGCCCTTGTTTGGGAACAGGATGTAGCTGTTTGCGATGCCCTGAAGATGGTACGAACCCAGAGGGAGGCCGTCAGGTCCTGAAGCTGGTTTAACGTTCACAAGTCTGGCAGCTCTGTTTCGGTTGATACTTATGTCTCTTCCTCGAGTGACGCCATTAAGAGGGTATATAACTCTGGCTGCCGCCGATCCAGTTACTGCAGTTAACAAAACGTGATAATCAAACGATTAGGATCCTCTTCTAATGTCTTTTTAATTTTTAATTTTCATGGTTACTTCTTCTCGCTACTATCTTTGTCAAAAATCCCGACTGTCCGCTGTCCTTCATTCAGTCAGGATACTATTGAAGGTCACAAATTTTCGCTTCCCGAGGGGCCAAAGAAACCATTTCAAGATATGGATAGCTGTTTTTTCGTCTAGTCAGGAGCGTGGGACAAAGAAAGAATTCTGAGTCACTATGAGGAATTGAACCTCAGACCTTCAGAGACCGCGCATGCTCCGATGCTCTGCCACTGAGTCACAGGGACTCTATGGTGAGCATGGCCCATTACGAAGTTCATATATAACACGCGTCTTGCATACTGCTAAGATCAGAATGTGGAATGGTTTTTTTTTCTTTGTCCCAAGCTCGCGACTAGACCGACGAAAAACCGACGTCATTCTACATTTCTTTACCAAACTTAAAACTTGCCATCTTTCTTAGTCTTTACATTTCAAGATATGTTTCACATTGTTGGTAAATAATTACCTCTTACGTTATTGCTTTGACTCAGAAACTTAGTGACAAAAATTGAATATGAAATAAGAGACGAAATTGATAAAAAATTCCCAAATCTCATGACTTGGAATGATGGAATACCTGAACATGCTTTGACTCGTACAGCATTCAGTACTGCTGATAATGTCCTCAACGAAGCTGTAAACACATGGAGTCCATTTGTGGCGATCTGGTATAACTGTGTTTTACTTGTCCTTCTACCAATAGCTACAACAAATACCTCAATTCCAATACGTTTTAAAACGCGTCCCGCCCGCTGTACACGGTCTACGGAGCGCGCACTTGCAAACACCACGAGTACACGCTTGCGTCCACATTGTCGTCTTCTTCTAAACAGGTACCTACGTGTATAGTAGAGAGCTCTTCCTATCCTGAGGGGACCCCTTTGCGGTCGAATCCTTCGTATGACTGATAGCATAGAAGACGCCCTTAAGAAGCGGTTAAACCGGAACAAAAGCTTGGGTCTTGACGCGTATGTGACTATACCGACACGGGTTTCCTGGGCTGAAATTCGTAGCGAGTAGAGAAGTCGCGCTATGTTTCGGGTAAGTACTTGGAATATTCCTCTGCCTGATCGGCGCAAGGTGTAAGAGCTGTCAATAAGGAATCCTATATCCATATTTGCTCTGCAAGCTGAAAGAAAGGACATCACCGTAAAAAGTTATATCCATATATGTTTAACGGGCTGTCGTTATGAACGATGTAAGACAACAGAACTCGTAAACTTAAGGAAGTTTATAATTTGGCTCCCGGTCCTTGCCTATAAATCTTCAATCCGTCTTAGTTATAGACCTTGCTCATGACGTCTTAGAACTCACAAGAAAAAAAAAAAAAGAAAAGAAAAAGAAGATCCAAAACGGGAACTTAGTTGGTACTCTGGTCGTCTAAAAACTATATTTTGAAATTAAGCTTAGAGAAACAAAATCACCAAGAAACGCAATCTTTAACTTGAGGGCTAAAACTCAAAGATTGGAACAGTGAACTACGTTATGGTTCATAAAACTCATGATTATGCCTTGTAACAGAGGAATTGGGTTTCGTGTGTACTACTTTGTGGGTGTTAATCAATCCAGTTCCAACGCTGAATTATCTCAATACCCGTTAAAAACTTGCAGACTTACCGTTACCTCAGTTTTAACCAATACTAAGATTACGAAAACTATGAAGATAATAAGAATAAGCCGTCCTGGTCCACTGGAAATGAGTACAACAAGCATTCGTGTGATTCAGAAAAAGGGTTATGCAGGCGTTTCAACAAAAGCCGTTTACCGGTGGTCTGGCGCCTGATACAACATCGTCAGCCGGAAAAAAAACTATTGCTACCCCTAGAGTTATGGCAACTTGAGCGATTCAGGAAAAGGGTTACGCACGGGTTTCGACAAAAGCACGTTACCGGTGGCTGGCGCCTGATACATCATCGGCAGCCGGAAAAAAAACTATTGCTACCCCTAGAGTTATGGCAACTTGAGCGATTCAGGACGCGAAAAGGGTTACGCACGGGTTTCGACAAAAGCACGTTACCAGTGGTCTGCCGCCTGCTACATCTTCGGCAGCCGGAAAAAAAAAACTATCGATACCCTTGGGGTTATGGCAATTCACGCTACAATTGGGTAGGATAATTGTAAAATTATCACCATTAATCGCCGCTACCACCAGCGCCTTTGTTTGGAAGCTTGGCATTTCAACTCCGCCCACGCTCCTTTAAATCGTAATGATGGCGGCTTCCTACCTGACGCCTATTTACACCTCGTCAGAAAAAAAGGGCAGCCAATAAGTGAGCATATGAAAGGGCCTCTTGTTGGAACGTTGGGTCGAAGAATTGTAATTTCCCCGTTTGCATTCATTAAATCTTTAAACCAGAGTAGTATCATGCCATGTCTGAATAGGAATATTTTCCTAAAACAATAAATTAGAATTGTCTAAGGTTTTTAGTACTTACGTCTTGGGGGGCTAGGCTTGGTAGGTGTTGATGTGGGTGTTGGCGTGGGAGTGAAAACTTCTGTTAACAGAAAAGGACATTAACAAGAAATTAGACGTTACTTACGCAGACATTGTAAGAATTCGAATGCTTACCTACTGATAGTTTATCCCTCAATGTTAGAATCTGTTTTACGGTAAAACATTTTAGGGACTTCCTTTTCAATCATACGGTACGCCATGCTAGAGGTAGCTAGAAATATGCTATAAGCATAGCCAATACAGTGTACCATAGGAAGGGGGGAGATGGGCGGATCTATTCGATTACCTGTTTTCGTTTGGCAGTAGGGTTGCTCTAGTACTGAATAAAGGGGGTATTAAAGTTACTAAAGAGACCGTGGTGCTACGAATAATTCCCTTGACGAAGGAGTTTCTAAAACGTTTCGGCGAAACGTTTTAGAAACTCTCTACGTTGGCCAATTTACATTGATGATAAAACAAAATTATCCTGGTCCGTTACTACCTTTAAAGCACTAACATTCTATTGCTAAGGCTGGCCCGTATCTAGTTGAACTCAACTGATATCGACTTAATTTGAATATATCAACAAAGTTGAAATGGTAAATTGGCCACCTTTACGATTATAAAAGCTGACGTTTCGAGCGTTAGCCCTCCGACGAAGGGCTAACGCTCGAAAGTTCAGCTTTTATAATCGTAACGGTGGCCAATTTACCCATATTCAAATCTCGCACCGACGCAGCCCCAAACAGTTTATTTAGAAACTATCAGCCTTGATATCGACTTAGTTTATCATTAGTATAACGTTTAGACACAACTTTCGTTATTCTTACTTGTTTTCAAACAAAGCCTCTTAGCGACTTGAATCAGTCCTGGTTGTAGAGGTACGTCATAGATTTGTAAGCAAGTAATCCGCCCACGGAAATACCGCTTATCCCCAATCCGCGCACCCATTCGAGCAGGGTAGTTTGTAGCCAGTCGAACCCTACCGATTCTTTTCCGGGCAACTTCTCTGTAATCGATATACAATCGGGCATATCCCGTACGCTGATTATAAGTAGCAGTCACGAAATTCCAGGCCTTGGGCTTGATAAGGTTTGTTTGCACGGCTGCTGTAAACCTTCGTGTACGTGTCACGAAACGAACCAGTAACACTCGGCGACGTACCATCCATAAGTGTACGCCAAACCCATCAGGCTTGTAATTAAAGATGGGTCCAACAGGACCATCTGGATTTATCCAAGCCAGAATTGAGATAGAGTTTCGAGCGTCTAATCGGCCTTTGTTCGGGAACTCGATGTAACTGTCAGAGCGACCTTTCAACCTAAATGAGCCACCAGGCCTTCCGTCTGGTCCCACACCAGGGCGCACATTTGCCATGCGCCCTGATGGGTTTTTACTTCCACTGACGTCGCGTGTGTTGAATCGTACGTTTAAGGGATAGAAAGCCATAGCTGGAGGTAAAGCTGATGGTGCGAGAAACAAAACAAAAAAGACGATTTCATGAGACAGTCCGTGTTTCTTGACCATGTTAATGAGACGGTAAATGAACTAAAGATAAGACTAAATATAATATATTTATATTGCACGAAGGTATAGCTTTGCTGAAGTCAAAAATGAGTGAAAACGAAATTGATAAGTACAATTGAGTTGTACTGAAAAAATTACCTATCACTTACTTATTCGTGGCTTTGTGGGTTTGGTTGGAGGACCTGTAAATAATTTGTAATTTGTAGTAAGTTTATTAGATTGTAGGAAAAATGTTAAGATATTGTTTACAAAAAATAAACAAAAAAACTAACTAATTTGATTTTGATCAGAATAAGCTACAATTTTGACATTTTCATAAAGATATATAAAGAAAAAATAATACGTCATGTTCCACTTCAAAAGTTTGTTTTAGTATAAAGAAACCTTATGTCATGTTTTTTTTAGGCACAATGCGTTTAGTTAACCCACATTGGAAGTGGATAGTCGGCTCGTGATTGGAACGAACTATGCCGATACCTTCAACTTTGCAGAACTGTTGTTATACTGTTGCTCACCTGGTTTATTGCAAAGGTTCTTGACTTTTTTAATCTGAGGTCCATTCAATGCCTCAGAGTAAACCTGCATACAAGCAATGCGCCCTCGGAATGTTCCACCCATGTACGCCGTTGTCTTCGTCGCTAATCTAATTCGTTTGATGTTCTGCGTCAGTACAGGTCTCGAATCCACCCACAGTGTAGCAATGCCTGTTCGCTGATTGTACGTGCAACCAACGTAATTCCAGCGGCGTGGGTAAAGACGCCGTTTAATCAAAGCTCTCGTGGGTCGCCCGTTCCTTCGTTTGAACTGGACATATAAGGTGTCAGACCGGACAACCCAGAACCGTATCCCTCGGAAATACTCAAAAATCGGACCACGACCTATGGGGAATATCCAAGCGAGAAGCGTTATAGAGTCCTTTGTATCCAGTCTTCCCGAGTTGGGGAAACGGATGTAGCTGTGGCGACGGCCGAAGAATTCCGTGGACTCGCCAGGTTGGCCGTAAGGGCCTGGAGCGTATCTAACGTTGTAGCTTCTGCCTGGGATGTTTCTTCCCGGGCTGATGTCACGTGCGCCAGTTTTGCTGTCCAGTGTGTAGACAGCAACGGGTTGAGGAAAGCCTGGCAAAAAAAGAAACCAATTACTAAACAAAAACGAAAACAGACAAGCAAAGTCGGATCTTAACTGATCCAGTTTTTCTACTGAAAATTATGAAGACCAAAACCAAAGTAACACAACGTCCAATCAGTAAAAAAAGCGAGGGGCCGCAAGGATAACGTACACACGGTGCGAATAATAATAATAATAATAATAACAATAATAATAATAATAATAAAATAATAATAAAGTATTTATTTCATCATAAGATAAAAATTCATATCTTATTTTACAATGAATTCGGCGAAAACTACAATAGAAATCTCCATACATAATATGAATTAAAAAGTATGTCATTACAATAAATGGAGCTTAAATATCAACCTATTTACAAAGGTGTTCATAAAGCGCTTTGTATTAATTTTCGGGTGTGCGCAGCCTTTTTTCCTAAGATTGCGTACATAAGTCTTCTGGACAGGAATGATGTCTTTCAGGGATGGCAATCCGTTGATATTAATTTCATCAAAATGTTTCGGTCTTGTTTGTTCAAAAGGTTTTTGATAAAAACTGGAAATAAAATGAAACGGAGTTTATGGCATCGGTCTAAAAAATTTTGTACAACCATAAGATCGGACTCAGATGCTCCATAGACTGAAAGTGCATAGCTAAAATTAGGCAAAACAATGGATATAAGAAGATGATCAATCTGTGCCTGAGAGTAATGTTCTTTTCTCAATGTTCGTAGGACGTGTAAACACTTGTTTGCTTTGACAAGCTTAGTTCTTACATGCTCATTAAATTTTCCGTCACTCTGTAGAGTTACTCCCAGTAAAACGAAGCTATTACATTGGGGAATATTATTAATTGGAGAGTAGAGTACATTGTCATTTTTCTTTCTAACAACCAGCTCTTTACATTTGCAAGGGTTGCAGACCATTCTATTGTCTTTACACCATGTTAAGAACTGTCCTACTAAGTCGGCAGACGGGTCACTATTCCTAGTGATACGCGAAAGAATAGTGGAATCATAGCCATAATTAAAACGCACAGGGCAAACATTAAAAAAATCTCCAAGTCATTAAAAAATATATTAAAAAGATACGGTCCGCTTACACTACCTTGTGTGGTAGCTTTAGCTACAATGGCGTCACATTATGGAACAGTTTACCACGCGATATAAGGAACACAGAGTCTCTGGGGTTATTTAAACGTAAGATCAATGACATTCTTTAAGTCTCACGCACGGCATTCACGGAAAACAGCTTTAGTGTTATAGTATGTAGTTTTAATTTTAAATATCTTAGCGTATGTGATATGTATTTTTATAGGCTGATGAATTGATCGTGTCTAAATAAAGATTACAATACAATACTCTATTGACAGATTCCCACTGTCCTAAAAATTTATAACTAACAACACGTTGTTGTCTTGCATAGAGGAAACCAAATTGATACCAATTGATAATGTACGGATTTAGGGGTAGCTGTTTCAGTTTGGCAGACAAAATAGCATGGTTCATAAAATCGAAAGCCTTATTGAAGTCCATAGTAAAAATTCGCACTGCGCTACAGTCACTACTATCTAAATACTTGTATGTCTGGTGCTGGATAGCGAGCAAGGCATTTGTGCAACTACCCGCCTGTCTATATGCAAATTGGGTGTGGCTCAGGTTCTTCTCAATGACTGACTATGCTTGTGTGCGATACACGACTTTCTCAAACAACCGCGCAATAACTTACAAGCAAGATAGGAATTTCACTTTTTAGACTACAGCGTTTAGTGAAGAACGACAAATACTTCCCCGAACCACTTTCAACAATTAATTAAAGAATGCTCTTAATCGAATAGCAAGCAGAAAGACAGGTACTGAGTAGGATGTTGTGAAGCGAAGCCTGACAAATGGCTGAAACGTTGCGTTTGTGGTTAATAATCATGTTCATTAAATATCGCTCCTTTGGGCTGTAAACCACTATAGACATCAATAGTTCGTTGTAGACTTACTTGGTTTTCTCGTTGGAGATGGAGTGGATGGTCGTATGGTCGGCCGCGTGGTTATTTGAGCTGTACAAGTGATGAAATGCTGTTAATACTACAGGTAGAGTTTTAATATATTCATACAGTAGGAATGTTTGATAATAATATTTCTGTAGATAGAAAAAAAAGAAAGGTTGAAAATACCTCTGCACGCTTTTCTGACTATGCTTTTCACGATGCCGGAAAGCGAATTAAAATTGACCATGTAAATATGATGAGAATCAGTGGCTATTGCCCTAAGCTCTTGGTTCCTCACGCGAGTGGTGACACCAACAGCGAACACTTCAATGCCAGCTCGATGTATCTGTAGACTTGGTATCTTCACGCTATCGTACGAAGGCCCACTCATCACCGTTATAAGGACTCTCTTTCTTCGACTGCGTTTGAAAAGCGCTCCAACTGCGAGCTGTAAGGCCTTTCCCGTGCGTCTAGATCCTCGGGTAAACCGGATCCTCCTAATGGCTCGGTTTAGCCGGCGTGGATTCGTGTACCAATTGAGTCCGAATTGCATTCGAGCAGACGAACCGTATACGATGACTCCCACACGTGCTCGGCTTCGAGAAATCGAGAATGATCGGGAAACGAGTTCCACGAACTGTTTTATTCGCCTGAAGTTGTGTTCTCCAACTCTTCCAGAGGCGTCCAGGACAAAACCAATATCAATTGCTAGGTTACAAGCTGGAAGAAAAAAAAACACAAGTTTTGAAGTATGAACGATTGATTACAAACATAATCTACAGTGGTAACATTAGTTTATTCACAAACATTAGTAAACATTAGTAAACATTAGGGCCCTTAAATGCGGACCTTCATTGCGACGGACCTTCTAGAGGACGAACGACCGAGAAATGTAAATAGATTCGACGTAATGTGCAAGGGAATTCATTTTCTATCAGACCATTGTTCAAGAGACCTCACAGTCGTACCAGGCAGAGGGAAAAATATCAATTCCTTGCTTTTTAAAAAAAGGGATATTGTATGCAACCAGCTTTGCTACAAGAGTGTACAGTAAAACGACTTACCAGGAGGTGTCGTAGGCTTTGTCGCTAAAAAAGGAAGAAAGGCCAAAATAATTTAAAATATGGTTGATCTAATACTTTAAAGTGTATTTCTTTTAAAATATATATAGCGCAAGTCGTTAGTGGAACTCTCAGGCCAACGAAAGTGCACCGCGCCAGGAGGATCAATAAAGATTCGCAGACCAAACCTCACAGCAAACACAAACGTAGAAAGTTTAAAAATTGCGATATATATATATATATATCGTCATTACATTACAATGGTGTAATGAGAAGGTCATTTGGGAAGAAAGTATACCTTCTTAGTTGATATCTCAACCCACAAAGGAATTTTTTTTGAGCAAAATTGGACTACCTCCATTTGCTGACACGATTGAAGAACAATTTTGTAGCTAGCTATATCGAACGTCTTGACTAGTCTCCACTAGGAAAAGCTACCAACACATATTACCCCTGTGTGCACGAGGAGGGCAAAATGGATCAGATCACTTACGCGGCACATAGGGCGTACAGGCCTTGTTCTTAATTACACCAAGAACAGTGCTCAGTCTCCTGAACCCGGCTGTGAACACATGCAAAGGACTGGAAGCCATTTGTTGCAGCTGAAGCCTTCTAAACTTGTGACCAATCCCCAAAGAGAAGATTTCCACTCCTTTCCGTTTCAATCTCTCGGCGGGACCTATTACATTATCTTGCGAAATCCCGTCTGTCAAGATAACAAGAACTGGCTTTCTACCTTTCGATCTCCCTCGGGGGAATAAGTACCTGGATGGGATAAGAACAAGAAATATCAGCATGTATATTCTCCCCGTTATTCTCCGTGTATTTTAAATGATACTTATAAGAAGAATTTCTTTAAACGATCAAGACCTTTTGGCGGTCGATGATCGTTTTCTTTGTTCTAACGAATTTTGCGTTTGATTAAGAACACATGTACACATGTTAAAGGATAAATTAAGCCCTGATTGATTTTGCATTACTTGGTTCAAACTCAAAGGACAAGTTGCCTGCTACTGTACTTCTGAAGCTAGATCCTGCTTTCTGTGGCCTGGAGGGACTACGAGTTCTTCTGGGGGTGGTTGTTAGTGCAGCGGAACCGTACTAAGTAAATTAGTAGGGACTTCAAGCAAACCACGACGGCTACGGCAACGAGAACGTGGAAAAACAATAGATCTAATTGACAGAACAATAGCTCAATACGTGCGTTTTAAAACTTTGTACATTTCTTAGCCGTCCTTTGCAAAACAACAACGTGAAATCACCCAAATTTGCGTCGTCTTCGAACCGAAACCGCGGCGGCAAATAATTTTAATTTACATTTGGAACTCAACGCTACTTTTATGCGTTATGTTGAGTTTGAGGTCTGGCGCCCTATGAGACGG